ACCAGCTCCACATGGGCTGCACAGACAGGAAGTGATGTCAGATCACACTGCTTAGTTTAGGGTCACACAGGAAGTGATGTTCTGCACGATCTTTAACCCAATCTTCCTTTAATGGTTCCTCATCCATAAGCAGGAAAGCAGAACCTGGACCGGGTTCTGACCCAGTTCCAGACAGCCGGACCTCTGGTACCTCTAAACAGGATCCTAAATCCGATCCGGTTCCTCCGATTTGATCCGTCTCACCTGGATCCATGGGGATGGACGCGCGGCTCCTCTGCGCCGCTGCGCCCTCCGGGTCCTCCTCGTCGCTGTCTGGGGGCGGAGCTTCAGGTAGGTGCAGACCCATCACCTGCAGGGAACCGCAGGTGAGACGGTGCATTCAGCAGGTGGGAGAGCTGCGTAACTTGTTGCTGGGAGGATCTCACCTCTATCCTGTGCTGCAGCTCCTGCAGCTGCTCCGAGTGGGACGTGTCCCCCCTGTCCTCGTCCTCCGGCTCCCCGGGTCCGTCCGGGTCCTGGTTCAGAGGCTGGTAGTAGTATCCTCCGCCGCTCTCCTCCTCCTCCTCCTCCTCCTCTTCCTCCACCCCGTCCTGCCCCCCAGGCAGCACCGCCCCGTCCACCGGTCGCTCGTCCTCCCCCAGCTCGTCCTCTGAGCTCGGCAGCACTCGCTCTGGTCCCATCGCCGAGCGGCACACTTCCATCCACGGGACGCAGCCCTGCGGACAGACGGACAGCTGAGACGGACTGTCCCTCACAGGAATCCAGTGGGCCTACAGTCTGGGTCAGAACCAGTAGAACCCGGTGGTTCTGCTGGCTCTGACTCCTTCCTGGGCCCGCCGTCAGCTCCGGTTCCAGAACCAGCCGCCGTTACCTGATGAAGGTGGAGAACAGCAGAAGCTAACGGGTAGCAGCTGCCAGCTTTTTAGCTAGCTGGTTAGTAGCTGGTCAGTAGCTGGTTAGTATGGTAGCAATGAGATTACCGGACTCATTGCTACCAGCTTGTCTTCACCTGTCCTGACCTCTCTGGGTCTGCTTTACCTGGAGTAAGCTGTTAGCCTCTGCTGCTAGACACACCTGGTGATGCCCAAACACTTCCGGGTGCGTCACACGGAGTAACGGAAGTCCTTTCCAGAAGATTTTTTTTTTTTTTTGGACAAACTTTATTGAACAAAAAAAAAACTGATGGCGTTTCCGATCAGACAACAACCAGAGTGAAGACATTATGTGAAGTAGATTGTAATAAATGAACTTAGCAGTAAAGTAATAAAAATAAGACCCGGACTTTGGTTCTGCTTTGCTTGGAGAGAGGCTAAAGGAAGCCACAGGGCGGCGCCAGAGAGCAACCAACCCGCCATATTCCCCTGAAGAACCGGAAGTTTCTGATCATCTTCAAGAAAATAAAACCTACATTGTAAAATTATAAATATGTCCTTCAAATGATTTCTTGAGAGCGATTTAATTTTAATGTTGAGAATTGTGGTTTTTGTGCAACTCAGTTGGAAACAACTAAACATTTGCTTTACGAATGTAAAGTATTAAACTTATGGGATCAACTTCAGAACTTTGTGTCCTAAAACAATACATTTGCATTTAATTTCTTTCCCAAATATTTAGTTCAGTTTATGTATCAAAGACAGCAAAATATATCCAAATATGTTGCGTCAAAATGAACTTTCCTCTTTTTAAAAGATGCAGAATTAAAATGCAATTAAATTGTATGAAGAATTTCAATTAGCAGCCCCTCTTATTCATTTATGTCACTTATTATATTTTATTCTTTCACTAGTCTTGGTACTTTGTTCTAGGCGCTGTATCCTGTTAACAGCAGATTTCTTTTTATGTTCATATTGATGTGTTGTTTCAGATTGCTATTCTTGTTCATTCAATAAAATATTATAAAATAAAATAAAAACAGATTTAAACGTTTGGCTTCAGGTGGAATAAAGAACCAGAACCATAATGTTTTTATTAGGGTCCACATGATGGTTCAGTACCTAATCTGGATACAGTACGACCAGACTGGGTCAAACAGAACCACCGCAGAACCTCCAGCTGTGCAAAAATGATAAAAAACAGAATTTAGCATCGACAACCTTCTACTGAAGAGAAAAGAGTTTTATTCTCAGGAACTCAATTCCAATGGATTTTTCTCAGATTGTCCCAAAGCTTCTCATCTTTATCTCTCGGTTCTGCAGAACCGGTTCTGCTATGGGAGACCCATCCGTCTCCAGCAGAAAGTCCAGAGAACTGCTCATGTTTCCTGATTGGCTCATCTGGGGGTCTGGAGGTCACGACCTGGCAGGAGTTCAAAGTTCAACTTCTTTCCCAGGATGCTGCAGATATTAATGGATTTATTCAGTTTTCATTTTTCTGGACCTGTAAACGGTTCTGCTCCTCTTACAGAACCAGAATTTACTCTTTGATCTTGTTCCCTGCTTTGGTTCTTGAGCAAAAACAAAGAGTGACGTCATCACGCTTGCCCAGACCAGTTAGAGATGTTGGTTTCTACGGCGACAGAACTTGTAGAAGATCGTGACCGGAAGCTACGTCACAGCTAATCGTCCAACGTTGAAGAGGAGTCACTCCGATGAAGATTATTCAGCTTCATCTTCATTGATCTGATGAACTTTTATTAAAACATGAATTCATGTATATTCACGCGCTATCATTCACTTATTTCATAAAGCAAAATGTTCTGAAATGGCGGTTCAGCAGGTCACGATTTCTGTTCAGAGTGAGGCCTCCTGTCTGTCCACCTATCTGTGCTCCATAGTAAACCTGCTCACCTGCAGGATCCACCGGGTCGAACCGAACCGACAGCGCTGCTGCCTGGCTGCAGGAGCCCCAGGCCTCGCAATCAGAACCGGTTCTGATGCTCGCCTTCCCGTTGGACCCGAACCTGCTCTGGTTTGCGGCGGAACCGGCGAATGATGACATCAGCGCGTGACCGTGTGTCCGCTACGCGCGTGAGCTGATCGATCGCTTCTCAGGTTAATTGACTGATTGAGCGGAGAGCCAATCAGAGGGTCGATCAGCTGGTCCTGCTCTCTGATTGGCTCGCCACGATTCGGTTCGGGAGACGTTACTGAAATCCTGCAGGTTCTGATCAGATCCGTAGTGAAATGATGAACCACCGGACCAGAACCGGAGCCTGTCCGCCTCAGAACCTTCTGATCCCTGTTCTGGTTCTGGTTCCTCACAAGTTTGGTGCCGTTTGCTTCTGTTCCAGCTGACCCGGTACCCAGAACCCGGTACCCAGAACCCTCCCAGCGCTCCCAGTCCGGATGCTGGCGGCCTCCATCCAGGTCAGCGGGGAGCCGCTGTCGGCGGTCGAGGTCCAGGATATCTGCGACCGGCTCCGGGAGGACGGAGTTCGGCTGCTGTCGGTCCGCGGCTGCCGCGTGTCGGACCGGGACTTCGGCCGGCTCTGCCGCGGCGTGGCGGCCTCGCGCTGCCTCGCGCAGCTCAACCTCAATCTGGGCGTGGTCTCGAGCATCGGCCGCGCGCGCCACCTGGCGGACGCCTTGGCGGCCAACCGCTCCCTGCAGACGCTGTTGTGAGTAGCCGCTTCCTGATTGGCCGGGCCGGGTCGGGCCGGCCTGGTTGGTCAGTGACGGCTTGTGCCGCCCCTCCCCCCCTGCAGCCTCCACGGCAGCCCGCTGCTGGACGCCGGCCTGGAGGCCCTGAACCCGGCGCTGGCCGCCCACCCGGCGCTGGTCTGCCTGGACCTGGGCGACTGCCTGCTGGGGGACGCGGCGCTGGCGCTGATCTGCGGGATGCTGCCGCCGGACGGAGCCAAGTCAGGTAGGACTCAGGTTCCGGTTCCCCAGGGGCCTTGAACGCACCACGTCCTACAGCTGATGATGTCATGACGCACCTGCAGGCCAGGTGTCACGAGGTGATGCTGATTATTAAGAAGATTAATGACCAATCAGATTGCTACAGCCTGGGATTAACCAGTTATTGATCAATGATTTTAATAAATGATTAACCAGTAATCAGCATGTAACTAACCCGTTATTAAGCTGTTACTAAGCAGCTTGACCACCCAAATGTTATAACCAGCTAATAACTGGTTATAACCAGTTATTAACCCGAACTTGCTAACCCGCGTCCGGTGAGCTCTAAAAGTTTGAGAATAGGTTGAGATCGTTTCGGCCCCAAGACCTCTAATCATTCGCTTTACCAGATAAACCTGCTTGTGAGGCTGAGCGCCAGCTATCCTGAGGGAGGGAACCAGCTATTAACTGGTTATAACCAGCTATTAACTGGTTATAACCAGCTATTAACTGGTTATAACAGCTATTAACTGGTTATAACCAGCTATTAACTGGTTATAACCAGTTAATAAAAAATAATTATATAAAATCTTGGTTCATCCACGTATGAACCAACCAGTTCCAAAGCAACTCGTCACTTACCAGAACCGGTCCGGTCCGGTCCGGTCCGGTCTGCCTCTCCAGGTCTCAGAGAGCTGACGCTGAGCGCCAACCCGCGGATCAGCACCAAGGCCTGGGCCCGGTTCTCGGTGGCGGTGGCTCACAGCTCCCAGCTCCGGGTCCTCAACCTGGACTACAACCCACTGGGTAAGGAACCGGAACCGGAGCCGGAGCCAGGTCTGGTTCTGATGGGTCCGGTTCTATCTGCAGGGGACCAGATTGCGTCCATGCTAGCTGTTGCCGTGGCGTCCAGTAGAACCCTGGAAGTTCTGGACCTGGAGGGAACCGGACTGACCCACCAGTCGGCGCAGGTTCTCACCATATTCTTCCTCCTCTTCCTCCTCTTCCTCAGCGGGCTGACAGCACATGTTCTGGTTCTGGTTCTGGTTCTGCAGGTGTTCCTGGACATGGTGGAGAACTACCCCACCTGCCTTCGGGTTCTGGTTCTGGCCGAAAACAAAGTGAGTCCAGAGCTGCAGCAGCAGATCAGCGACCTGCTGTCTGAAGGGGAGGAGGACGGCCGGGAGGCTCCGCCCCCTCCGCCAGGCCACGCCCCCAGCTGTGCCCTGCAGCCAATCAGAGAGAAGCCCCTCCCCTGGCTCCCCAACAGCAGTAAGGGCTGAAAGCGGTCTGGATGGAGCCGGTTTTGTTGGACTCGGACCAGAACCGGCGTCCTCTGTGTGGTGTTTACTTGTCCTCTGGATCCGTAGGAGTTTAGTGTTCTGTCTGGTGTTGATCGGATCCAGTTCTCCAGCATTTTGCTGTTTGAATATTCAATTTCTATTGATTATTGTTATTCTGTGGTTCTACTCAGGCCGGGTTCTGGTTCTGGATTCAGTCAGGCTCAAATTTGAATTAATAATGTGTTAAAAGTGATATTTAAATTCAGTCATTTAAATATATTTTAAATTGAATTCAGATGAAGAAGCTAATCTGAGCCTTGAAAGAGGTTCTGATGGTTCTGACCGTCATTCTGATCTCCAAACCCGGTTCAGTCCAGGTCTGATTCCCTGTCGGGCCGGACCCAGTTCAGACGGGTGGAACCAGAATCTGTCAGCTCCAGTTCTCCCTCTGGTTGATGGTTCTGTGGGTTTTTGGTACCGTTGACCCGGCTGAAAGGAACCGGACTGAACCTGGCGGTCTGAAGCCAGGAACCTGGTTCTAAAGTCTGAATGACCTTTGACCCCACAGACTCCGGTCCGCCCACGGTCATGCTGACGTCAGGAGTAGGTGAAAGCCTATTGGCTGAAAATGAAAGATGACCACGCCCTCTTCCTGCTAGATTGTCATCACTTCCTGACCTGAATGTTTGTCTGCTCCGACCTGATTGGTGGGCCTGGGAAGGGGGCGGGGCTTGTTGACAGGTGTTGCTTTGTTCTGCTGTGATGATGTCACAATAAAAACAGTTTACAGTTTGGTAAGGACGGCTCTGATTGGTTATTTCTGCTCACCAGAACCAGAACAGAGTGAAACAGATGTATTGAAGGCGGACCGGATCGGTTCTGGTTTGGTTCAGAGCAAAGTTCTGATGACTTGTGGACCGGTCCGAGAAAAGCTGATCTCATGTTATCGTTTTACAGCGATATTTAGCTTTGTAACTGAATATTTAGTTTGAAATATTGACATTAATAAATGAATAAAAAACATTGAGATGAACTCAAAGTACTGCTGTTAATGTTCGACACTCGGCGCCCCCTGCTGGACCCCCGGGGTCCGACGGGTCAAATAAAATCTGTACAAGAAGCAATAAATAAGATATATTACAGTATTTACAGAACATTTCGGTTTGCAGCCGGTTCTGGTTCAGACGGGGAGTTGGTCCAAACCCGGATCTAGGAACCAGAACTCCGTTCAACCTTCGACCCGACCCGACCCGACCCGACCCGACCCGACCCATCCAAGAAATGTTCCTGTTGGTCGTCATGGTAACGCCTTCCTGAGTATGAATTCTGATCCAGTCGGGTCCGGTTCCATGATGCAAACCATCTGATCAACGTCTGATGTCATAGTGCATGTGGATCTGTGACCTCTGACCTCTCTCTAAACGGCCTCTATGTTGAGTTTCTTTTTCGGTGGTTCTGTTGCATTCAGGACGCTGATCCGCTGCTCCGGCTGCTCGGCGGGTTCCTGGCTGCTGCGCCGCGATGGGGACGACCAGCAGGGGGCGTGGCCGCGGCGTTGGCAAGGGGCGTGGCCGCGGCGTTGGCAGGGGGCGTGGCCGCGGCGTTGGCAGGGGGCGTGGAGGACCAGAGCGGCGGTCAGCGCCACCGCGCCTACAGACACGCTGGTCAGAACCAACACAACGACAAGCTGCAGGTCCGACAGGCCGCCGGCGCCGCGCTCCTTCACCGTCACCTTTACCTTCCTGTTGTCATGGTGACCAGTGTCCCGGGCCCGCGTGGTCCAGACCGGGGGGCTCGGCCCGGCGTTGGCGGGGCTCGGCCCGGCGTTGGCGGGGCTCGGCCCGGCGTTGGCGGGGCTCGGCGGCGTTTCGCAGGTGGTTCCGGTGAATCCCGGCCGGCAGAGGCAGCGGAAGCCTCCGGCGCGGTCCAGGCAGCGGCCGCCGTTTCGGCAGGGCCGGCTGGCGCAGTCATCCACGTTGACAGTGCAGAACCGGCCTGAGAACCCGACCGGGCAGAGGCAGGAGAACCGGTTCACTCCATCCACACAGGTGGCGCCGCTGGCACACGGCCCCAGCAAGCAGTCGTCGATGTCGGTCTCACAGCGGGGCCCCGTGAATCCGGCGAGGCAGCGGCACAACAGCGCTGCCGCAAAGCCGTCGGCGTCGTCACACAGGCCGCCATTTTTACACGGGGACCTGGACCCAGAACCAGATGGGACTTAAAGTCCAGACCAAGAACTTTAAATGATTCTAGTGAACTACCATGAAGTATGTTGGATCATCAATAAGTCATATCACAACAGAGATGATACATGCTAACGTTAGCTTAGCCCTTCAACCCTCAGACTCTATGGACGTGTTGCTACCGATCACCTTGTCTGGAGACACGGCCCCTTCCTCTTCCGGCAGGTCGGACCATGAAAACCGTCTGGACACAAGCAGCGGAAGTCCCCGCTGTCCTCCAGCAGACAGGTGGCGCCGTTGAGGCAGGGCTGCTGGGAGCACACGCTGAGGTCTGACAGGAAACACACACAACAGGCAGCGGCGTCAAGAAACGCCAGGACCGACGGCTTTCCGACGGGTCAGTTAGCCGCAGAGACCTTTGTCGCAGAATCGGCCGCCCCAGCCCGGCTGACACGCGCACTGCCACGGCTGCAGGCAGGAGCCGTGGACGCAACCCGGCATCGTCACGCAGCGCTGGCACAGCGCGCCGTCCCAGCCTGGATCACACCTGGAAACACGCAGCAGATTTCAAGGAGAGATGGAGAAATGAAGGTCAACGTTCCTGTGGCTTCTGCACCGAAGCCGTAAAACAACATGATGAGTTTCTCTGATGCTGAGACATTAGTCCTGGAATGTCCTGGAATGTCCTGGATCCTGGAAATGTTTTTCAGCTGATTGAAGGTCTGCTCTGGAAGTGTCTTTATGTTGCTCTGAAGGTTCAGGTCAGAGGTCAGCCTGGTCTGGAGTTTCCAGCTGGAAGAACTGAGCTAAACTGTGAACCTTTCAAAATAAAAGCTGTTGGTTAACCTCAGTGAAGCGTTTGGTCTACAGGCTGCAGCCACACTGAGGGAGGATCTGACCAGGCTCTGCGGCGCTCAGCAGGTCGGTGTCCGTGGAAACGGGATTTAACCTTTGACCTGCTGGTTCTGATGACGTCTTACCTGCAGACTCCGAACTCATCACAGCGGCTGTTGGTAGCGTTGCAGCTGCAGTCGCTTCCTGTGGAGAGAACAGCACCGATCAGAGGAAATGGTCGGAAAATGGGAAGTAGATAAATCCTATCAGAATAAAGTGTCTGCTGGGAACCCAGTTCTGATCCGGGATGGTTCCAGTTCCAGGGTTAGCAGAACCTGACATATTAAAGTTCTACAGCTGATCAGTGACTGGAATCTGAAACTGGGAAACAGCTGGAAGTTCACAGGAAACCACCAGGTAGCTTCCTAGACCTTTTCACAATAAAGGTCCAGAAAATCCTTCCCTGCAACATCTCAGCTCCGCAGCAAGGAAGTCACTGCATGTAACTTAGGAATTATAAAGTCATTCCTGAAGTTGTGAATCCGTTTCCATCCCGTTTAGAAGCTTCCAGCTGCCAGTCGGTAATGTGACCCAAAACTGCCGGATCAGAACCTCCAGTCAGAAACTTTTTCTATTCATCCAGGAAGTTTGTTCCTCAAGAGGAAAAATCTGGTTCTGCATTTTATTTTGAAAATTTATTGAGAATTCTTTCCTGTTGTCTCAGTAATTAAAGGAAAGGTGTTCCAGAACCACACCAGAACCGCTCTGGTTCTGAACAGCTTCCTGGTTCTGAAGAGCTTCCTGGTTCTGCTGCTGATCCGGTTCAGAACCGATTCTCCAGTAGAGGCTCAACAGAACCTTTACAACCGGTTTTATCTCGGAGTGGTTGGACTCTGTCAGAGGTTGAAGACAGGTTTGCTCTGTGTTTTTACTGTGACCTCTGACCTCTGGCCTTGGAGTGCAGCTGCCGGCCAGATCGGGTTTCGGCCGGAATGGAACTGGATTGTTCCAAGGAACGTCTCGGTAATCCGACCCGATCAGTGCCACAACAACCGGCGAGCAAAGCAAGCCGTCCACCGCCCGCCACGCGACCTGTCGTCTGTCAGAGGTCAGAGGTCAAACTCCTGGCCTTAGAGCAGGAACTGGTTCAGGAAAACTGGTGAATCCAGAAACGGGAACACTGTGAGGATGAGCAGCTTTCCTTCTTCATTGTGGAGGAAGTCGGAGCCAGGAACTTACAGGAAGAAAACAATTTTTATGCCCATGAAAATCAGTTTGATAAGCAATAAAGGTGAATAAAACAGGAAGTTCAACGATTCCTGTTGGAACTAGAAAAGATAATTAATAATAAATGTGTTTTCTTTTGGTTTTAAGGTGAATTAATCAGTTTGGTTGTTGTTCCGATCATCGGTTCATCCCATTAAAGCCCAGACTTCCTGTTTGGAAGCCCAGACTTCCTGTTTGGAAGCCCAGACTTCCTCCAGGAGTCTGCAGATCACGTCTCCACCCCTGGACTGTCTCTGCCTTTGGGAACCTTCAGCAGAACCTCAGGAGTCCCTGGGTCATGTGACCTACCTTCACCTGCACAGGGGGATGGAGCAAAGAGCAGGAGGCGCACGCAGCTCAGCATCAGCAGGACGCCTGCACCTCGGATCGCCGACATGTTGGCTGCAGCAACAAGCCGTCCTACAGGAGGAGGACATGGTGAGACGGAGACCAGGTGAGTCCACCTGTCCTCATTTGAGGACAGGACCAACTACAGCATAGCTAGTTATTCCTGAAGTAAATGGGATGCAGCATTAGCATGCTATCTGTTTTTTAGCTCAGAAGTTGGTGCATGGATCTGGAAGCAATATTGGACATCTTAGATTTCATGTGTGTCATAAATAGTTTAAACAAGTTGGGCCTTCCAAACCAGAGTTCTGACTTTCAAACTAGAAGCTTGAGAATTTAGCCAGAAAATATCATGAGGATCCTGGTTACTCCTGGTTCAGCGGGGCCCCCGATACCGACTGCAGATATTAGACCCCAGACATAATCTGGTCTCTCTGAGGTCATCTTTCTGTCCTACAGTGACCCTGAGCTCTGGAGATTTTTCCGGACATGTCTGCAAGTTTGAGGTGTCGGTGCAATTCTTGTGAAGTTGAGCCGCCACTGAGAGTGAAACTTAAGCTGTCAGCGAGGGACAATCCTGCAGGACGCTGTGAGCTGGACTTCAGACGGACCGAGGGATGTGTCTTGGGTTCCAGTCCTGCATCCTGTGGTGCTTCACGTCAAACTTTTCCAAATGTCATAATCTTTCTTCTCCTTCCCCCAACAAGAGATAGAGGACAGGGCTGTCCAGCAACTCTACCCTCTTCCTCTGTCTCAACCTTTGGTCCAGCAGGAAGTGGATGTTTCCCCAGACCAGGACTCCTCCTGTCTTCAAAGGACATTGTCCTGAAGCTGCTAGGTGTGTTCTGCTTCTACACACAAACAGATGCAGGACAAGACTGGAGATCCAGGATGCTCCACTTCCTGATCAGGTCATGTGACCTACCTGTTCTTCTTCCTCCTCTTCTTCTTCCCGTTCTGTGTTTCCTCTAGTCTTGATGCCGTGGTGACGGAGGTCTGGATCCCTGTGCCCACACGGTCGACTGTCAGGCAGGAAAACAAGGAGCGGATCACTTTCCAAAGATTCCAGGGAAGAGCACGGCCTCTGCAGAGACAGGAAGGGACATGCCTGGATTACCGACAGCATTCGTGTGGCTTGCATACCACAGCGCACGCGCACACACACACACACACACACACACACACACACACACACACACACACACACACACACACACACACACACACACACACACACACACACACACACACTCAGTGCCTTTCTTTCAGGGTGTTTGCTCAGGGGAGAGAAAAATGAGGGGAGTGTGTGCTGGAGAGAAAGCAACAGGTGGTTGGTTAGCAGGAGAGTGAGTCAGAGCAAACATTGCCCATCATCTCTCCACAAACTCACTCCTCTTCACTCTATATCACGCCTCTGACGAACACTCCTGCAGTAACAGCAGCACAAGCTAATCAGAGGGCAGAGAATCAGTCACATGACCAGGACTAAGGACATAAAATCTGGAGTGTCTAAACAAGTTCGTCCTTCAACAGAACTGTCCCCTTTCAGACTGAACAGTTCATGTTCAGAGTTCACCACTAGAAAAGCTGTTTCAGCTCCTCCATCATACTTGACCTTCTTGACTTTGGTCTGAACCACCAGGAAGTGGATGTACATCTCAGTCAGGGTTCTGGGCAGCTCTCCTCCCTCTCTGGTCTCCATCACATCCTCCAGAACTGTAGCAGTGATCCAGCAGAAGACTGGGATGTGGCACATGATGTGGAGGCTTCGTGATGTCTTCATGTGGGAGATGATCCTGCTGGCCTCTTTCTTCTCTCTGAATCTCTTCCTGAAGTACTCCTCCTTCTGGGGGTCATTGAACCCTCTGACCTCTGTCACCATGCCAACACACTGAGCAGGGATCTGATTGGCTGCTGCAGGTCGTGTGGTTATCCAGAGGAGAGCAGAGGGAAGCAGTTTCCCCCTGATGAGGTTTGTCAGCAGAACATCCACTGAGCTGGACTCTGTAGCATCAGTCAGGATCTCCTTGTTGTGGAAGTCCAGTGGAAGTCGACTCTCATCCAAGCCATCAAAGATGAACAGAACCTGGAAGTACGGAGCTCTCTAAAGGAGATGGGGAAATATTTTCCTTTTGGGTTCCCTCGCAAAACTTTTGCGTTACCTCACAATAATGTACTAATCGGTTCATGCAACATAACTGAATACTGTAAGCCTTTCTCACAGTTCCCATTGTACTTTCTGCTATGAGGCTTTCATCAGGTTTTTCCATGTTTCTTAATATCTCGTGAAATATCTAAAGTTATATTTTTCTTTAGGATAGGAATGCACCACAAACCTATGATATAAATAGAAACTTTACATAAGTAGGAAAGGAAGAAAAATATACATCCAAACTATTTGAATTATTTCTGAGTTATCGCGAGGTAATTAGTCATCTGACAGTTTTGATTGTGTGTCTGCACTTGAAAAAGGGCCGTTTTCATCTCAGCCTTACACAAACAGACATAAACATGCAGTGAATACATTGATTTTCAAACCATTTTTTGCACCAAAGAATTAAGAGTAAACATGTTTTCACTGAGGTTCTTTATATATGTAAATATTTTACATTTTAAATTGACATTTTTGACTATATAAAATAAACCAGTAAATATTGCAGTAAGCATATTGCAAGGGAATGTAAAACTTATTGCGAGGTAACACAAAAGAAAATTTTTTTCACGTGTCCCTACAGGCACAATATGTAAGTGTTCAAAGCTGCAGATTTCTTTGGTTTCAGTAAAGAAGTGATGAACAAGTTCCACCAACCCAAACTCCTCTTTCAGCTCTCTCAAAGTGAATGGAAATATGAACTGGATGTTCTGGTGTGGGGCTCCACAGTGGCCCAGTTGGTAACACTGTTGCCTCACAGCAAGATGGTCCTGGGTTCGATTCCCAGCCTGGGGTCTTTCTGCATGGAGTTTGCATGTTCTTCCTGTACATGTGTGAGTTTTACCCGGGTACTCAAACTTTGTCCCATAGTCCAAAAAAAAAAAAAATTGGTTAATTGGACTGTAAAAATTCTCCTTAGGTGTGAGTGCAGGGTTGTTTATCCTGTCTATCTCTGTGTTGCCCTGCAATGACCTGTCCAGGATGATGCCACTTCTCACCCGTTGACAGCTTGAAATAGGCACCAGCACTCTTAATGGGATAAGGGTGCGACAAAATGGATGGACGGATGTTCTGGTGGTCTTTGTCTTATCATGTGCTTACATCACATGGCATCCAACATGGTTAACTCAGAAAAGTGTGACCTTCATATGTCACAGTTAGAGCATTTTGTTGTTTTTTGTAAGTGTGTCAGTTTAGCTGTTGCCTGGCCCCCCAAACATTCTCAAAAACTCAAGATATTGATCACTTTTACTCCCCCATTCTTTGCTTTCATACTGACCAAATATGAAGCTGGTAGCTCATAATCCATTGGAAGGCTTTGTAATTGTCAAAAATGGCAAAATAAATTTGCTCTTAGAGCCAAATTTTGCCGTCTAATATTAGGGTTTTTTTCCCGAGGTAGTTCAGGGGATCTACCTATGTACAGAATGTGAGACATATAGAACGTACGGTTTGGTGTATCTCATATTAAGGGGTGCTGTAGAGCGTCTTAGCCCTAACCCATTTTCAGTTCCATTAACAATATTTTAATATGTGGGGACAATTTTGGGTAAAGTTAAGTGATTTTTAAAATACATTTAGGTCCTCCAAAACCTCCAGATCGGGGAGTCCACCCTGAATATGAACTAATTCAGAAGGAAAGCTCCGCGGTGAACGAGTTCATGTTCAAAGTTAATGGAGACAGAACATCAGCCAAGTCACATCTGGCCTTTCACTTCCTCAGAAGGATCCTGGTATTAAGTTCTGGTACCAGGTCAAAGACCGTTGGTCTTGGTCCAAGTTATCAAGTCCTGGGTCCTAGGTTTCAGATCAAACGTTAAAGAAAGAGAACTGCATTAAAACATCTGTTGATGTCAATCTTTGTACTGAATCATGGATGCCAGGTTATGAACAGGATGTCTAGAAAACTATGAGTTTTATTGTGAAGTCACGAGTTTCCTGGCGGAGTTCCATACAGGACGTCTTTTTTTGTCAGGCAGCTGAAGCAAACCCTGAAGCTCGATTATTCATGTCGAGTTCTGGCTCTTCTGGTTCTGCCAGGTTTGAAGTGCCTAATATTTCAGTACCTGAAAGTTCTACAGTATGTAGCTAAACCACGGTCACACCCATCGTCTAGCGCCCTCTGTTGGTCCGGAGGTTCAACTCAGCTGATATTTTTGGAGCTACTTCGCAGCGTCAGGACTAATGAAGGTGTTTTCATCTTGTTGATGTGCTTCTCAGGAACCTACGGGTGTTTTCTACTGGCTGCTGTCCAATGACGCAGAAGAGAGCGGGTCATGATGCTCAAGTACGACCAATCAGAGAGCTGAGCTGAACTCTCCTCACCCACTTCTTCCTCACCTGAGCTGCGATCACAACCTCAGCTCTTAAAAACACGTCCCGGCAAGACCACCAGCCTCTGGCAAGGGGGAGCTTTCCAAGTCCAGAACCAGCTGCAGATCCAGAACCAGATCCAGAACTACAACCAGGACCAGAACCAAAGCAAGGGGGCCAGGTCCATAACCAGATCCAGAACCGGGACCAGAGTCAAAACCAGGACCAGAATCAGAACCTGGACCAGAACCAAATCCAGATCCCGGACCAGAACCTGGACCAGAACCAGATCCAGAACCTGGACCAGAACCATAACTGTAGCAGAGAAATCTCTTCTTACCTTGAGCTAAATTTCCCCTTCCTGCTGGTGTGAAAACCTCCTGGATCTGCCACCGCCAGCCAGATTGTTTGCTCCCTGTTTAATGCACATGAACACACACTCTGACACACACATGAACACACACTCTGACACACACACATGAACACGCACTCTGACACACACAGAGAAACTGACACATGTTGCTCCTCAGGGTGTCTGTTTTAATCTGAAGCGAACGACGAGGAGACGACGCTCGCCCAGTAAACACTCCCCCTCTGCTGGGTGCGACCCCGACACACACACATTGACACACACACATTTGCGTGGCTATCTTTGTGGGGACTTTCCATTGACTTCCATTCATTTCTACAGCCTAACCCACACTCTAACCCTATCCCTAACCAAAACTCAATACACACCTCAGTCCTAAATCTGACCCACGACCCAAAATCAGCCTTTCCCCTTGTAGGGATCAGGCTTTTGTCCTCACAAGGAACAGCAGGTCCCCACAACGTAGTGTCAGGCAAATGGTCCCCACAAGGTATTAGAAACAAACAGAGAAACACTCTCTCTCAAAGGACGTGTGTGTGGGCGGAGCCAGGTTCCTAGAGTGTGTGTTGTTAGACCAGATGTTGCGCCTCAGGTGAGATCAGGTGTTGATTGGATGCAGAGACAGACGGCGATTTCTCCAACATCAGACTTGCTGCTGGTACCAGAACCAGCCCGGTTCTGTTCCTGGCTCTGACCTGGACCTGCTGACGTCCCAGCGGGTCCAGACTCATCCCGCTGCAACGAGGACTCGTCCTGACAGACAACCTGCTAGAGAACCAGAACCAGAAGAGAACCTCTGCTTACTGATATATTTATATTCTTTTGCTCATTTTGCTCAGAGACTTCTCCAATAATGGACACATTGATTTCTCAATATGCGTTCTTGTCTGTACTTGTCTTCTCACGTCCTTGTGAAACATCATTGACAGCAGCCCAAGTACCGTTCTAATTATTAGTACGCATCAGGCAAGAATGCTCAAAGTACCCGGATGTGTTCTCGACGATGCATCGATGCATCGTCGTGAATACGCAGGCGCCTCATAGAGCGGGTCGGCCCATTGCTGCAATACGTCCCAGTGTTCGCCATATTGAATGTGGCCAATGTTCCAGTTTGCTAATACAAGTAAATGGACTGAACTTCAGAAAGTGCCATTCTACAAAGTATTTTAAGTTAATACCTGTCACTGACACATTCTCTCTCACACGCACTAATATATTTGGGAATCAAATAAATGACTAGACAGAGTTTCTAACTTTTGATGTGATTATTTAATTGTTTTAGGAAATTTCTGAAAAAAGAGTACAATGTTTTTATTTGATAGAAATGATTCTGATTATTTTTATATTGACATTGATGAACTTTTATAGTGTTTTATCCAAGAACATATTTACCTGATTCCATAATTTAATGTACATTTAATGTTTCAAGACAAGAAAAAATACATATTTTCTTGTATTTTTTTATGTATTATTGATAAATGGCTTCATTGATCAGCATCACTTGATGACTTTGATCAATCAGTAATTCTCAAACATTACACTACATATTTTTCTTCCTTTTTTCTGAAAAAGAAATATTACAGTATGTTATCTCTGCTATTGACAGCAGAGTAAAAATAGTTCTAATAGAGTAAATTATTTTATTTCATTATATAAACTGTATTAATGCACTAATATTTCAGACTGAGATCTTTAAAAATATACAAGAGTGAGGGTCTCCCCTTTTACCCTTATTGTTTACATTGTTTATTGAACCTCTGGCCGAGATTATCAGGACTAATCCGGATGTATCTGGAATCAATATAGGCGGTAGAAACCATGTAATATTATTCACAGACGATGTAGTTCTGTATATGTGCAATCTTGAGAAATCAATTCCAGCTATTCTGGAATCTTTGGCTACATTCAGAACTTTGTCAGGATATAAATCACCTCAGGAAAGTCTGTGGCCATGGAGCGAATCTGGGTATCGTTGTTACACCTGATCTGAATAATTCTTTTGGGACTAATTACACACCTTTAATTCAGAAGATAAAAAAAGATTTCATAAATGGGTAGCAACTTCATTGTTTATAATACTTTGCTGGTCTGGTGAGATGTGAAGAAATATCTCAATATCTCCCCCACCATCTCTTCTTGGTCATTGTGAACTTTGAACCCAGATTTACCAGTGGAGATTAGAAAGGTTGGTTTGTCTTAATGGTCATCTAAGAGACTCAAATATTATGGACTTACTGGATCTGACTCTGTTAAAACCTTTAGATCAAATTAAAGCCAATTTCAATATTTCTAATAGAGATTTCTATAAATACCTACGGATCCATCATTTTGTAAATTTTCTCTGTAGGACAGGAAACTTGCGCACGAAATTGTCAGAGAATATAATTTTCATGTCTAAATCTCCTAAAGGACTTATCTCCAAGATGTATATTATGTGGCTCTGACTCCTCAGGTTATGATGCAATGAAGCTGTGAGGGAGCATGATTTAGGGCTGATGTTCGATCAGCAGATTAGGAAGAAATCTGCAATGGGGTCTGCACCGACTGCACCTCGGTCTCTATACATGAGCAGAACTTTAAATTCTTCTACCAAACTTATTATACACCTGTTCGCCTTCAGAGGATGTTTCTTAATGCTTCAGATCTTTGTCATAAATGCAAAATACAAACATACTTGAAATCAACCGCAGCCTGATTTCAGCAAGTCACTCTATCATTTTCTGCTGCCTGTTATCTGCGATATAAACTCTATATGGTAGATAGTTATAAGTAGCAGAATAGAAAATATATTCTCTCTTCGGAAATTTTAAATATTTATTTAGTTAATATTGGTATTTTGTAAATTGTGTTGACACAGTCTTTCAAAACCACTTTTATTCACTAATTAACTGTTTGGACATATAAATTTGTAGTAGGAAAATATTTTAAATATTCCTTAATGATCAGAGAACCAACATTAATCTGTAAAATATCCTCACACATATTCCTAATATTGGCTTCAGGTAAGCAGACTGGAGTTCCAGGTTTATGTCCAGCTTCCCAAAAACTCCCGGAGAGTCTCTTCATTCCCATTTCCTGGAATTGCCCTCTTCACTGTCTACTCATCTTCTTAGAAAAGAACTATTAAATTACGGTCATATTTGCTTTCGACAGTCCCAGTATGAATTTTCTGAAGTTATTAGCTGATTTTCTGCTTGTTTTTCTTTTTTGTCATTCTAAGAAAGACATTCCTACAATTTTTTTTATTTCTTTCTATGCTGGTATCGTATAAGAGTACGCTCTTGCAGGTTGGACCCTCAGTGTTTAGTAGTTTTACAATAATCATCCAGTTGTGTGACAGGAACTTTGGCCAGATGCAGGGGGGTAAAACATTAAATATGAAATAACTGTTTTAACTTTCCCTGTTAATGAATCCTTGCAAACCTGGAGAATAAGGAAGGAATCCGTTTCCTGCATGACTCAGGCTGGCCATCATCTATTAATTGACATTTGAGGTAAATATTTTAAAAGCAAATAATCTGATGAAGGTGGCAAACAAGACTCAAGCTTCACTGGTAACAGAAATATGGAAAAGTAATTTGAGGTGATACAATTATTTTCTATTAACTTAAGCTTTTTATAATCAATAATAAAAACTTAATCACATTAATTTTAAGGTCTTTCTACTTAGAAATTACATTTCCTTATGTTGTATGTTTTGATATCTGTTCACATTTGTCCCAATTATAAATGTTCAATTAATTCCTGCGTTAAACTGGACAATTTATTGACAATCACAGAAGCTGAGTGATGACATCATCAAGAACGGCCTGTTCCAATTGGAAAACTAACGAACTGCTTCCTTGTGAACTCGGTAAGAACGAACGTTCAACTGTTCATTCGGTAGTACGGCCGACAACACAAGAACACCTGATCTGTTCTGTTCTGTTATTCTGTTTGCCTTTTCCCTTGGGCAAAACACTTCATCTCCCTGGTCAGCGGGCGAGGACCCAGATAGCCTGGTAGCCTGATAGCCTGGTAGCCTGATAGCCTGGTAGCCTGATAGCCTGATAGCCTGGTAGCCTGATAGCGTGGTAGCCTGATAGCCTGATAGCCTGGTAGCCTGATAGCCTGATAGCCTGGTAGCCTGATAGCCTGATAGCCTGGTAGCCTGATAGCGTGGTAGCCTGATAGCGTGGTAGCCTGATAGCCTGGTAGCCTGATAGCGTAGTAGCCTGGTAGCCTGGTAGCCTGGTAGCCTGATAGCCTGGTAGCCTGATAGCCTGGTAGCCTGATAGCGTGGTAGCCTGATAGCCTGATAGCCTGATAGCCTGGTAGCCTGATAGCGTGGTAGCCTGATAGCGTGGTAGCCTGATAGCCTGGTAGCCTGATAGCGTAGTAGCCTGGTAGCCTGGTAGCCTGATAGCCTGGTAGCCTGATAGCCTGATAGCCTGGTAGCCTGATAGCGTGGTAGCCTGATAGCGTGGTAGCCTGATAGCCTGGTAGCCTGATAGCGTAGTAGCCTGGTAGCCTGGTAGCCTGATAGCCTGGTAGCCTGATAGCCTGGTAGCCTGATAGTGCAGTAGCCTGATAGCTTGGTAGCCTGATAGCGTGGTAGCCTGATAGCCTGGTAGCCTGATAGCCTGGTAGCCTGATAGCGTAGTAGCCTGGTAGCCTGATAGCCTGGTAGCCTGGTAGCCTGATAGCGTAGTAGCCTGATAGCGTGGTAGCCTGATAGTGTAGTAGCCTGGTAGCTTGGTAGCCTGATAGCATGGTAGCCTGGTAGCCTGATAGCCTGGTAGCCTGATAGCCTGGTAGCCTGGTAGCCTGATAGCGTAGTAGCCTGGTAGCCTGATAGCCTGATAGCCTGGTAGCCTGATAGCCTGGTAGCCTGATAGCGTAGTAGCCTGATAGCTTGGTAGCCTGGTAGCCTGATAGCCTGGTAGCCTGGTAGCCTGATAGCTTGGTAGCCTGATAGCCTGATAGCGTAGTAGCCTGGTAGCCTGATAGCCTGATAGCCTGGTAGCCTGATAGCGTAGTAGCCTGATAGCTTGGTAGTCTGATAGCGTGGTAGCCTGATAGCCTGGTAGCCTGATAGCCTGGTAGCCTGATAGCTTGGTAGCCTGATAGCCTGGTAGCCTGATAGCCTAGTAGCCTGATAGCCTAGTAGCCTGGTAGCCTGATAGCCTGGTAGCCTGGTAGCCTGATAGCCTGGTAGCCTGATAGCTTGGTAGCCTGGTAGCCTGATAGCTTGGTAGCCTTGTAGCCTGATAGCCTGATAGCCTGGTAGCCTGATAGCCTGGTAGCCTGGTAGCCTGATAGCTTGGTAGCCTGGTAGCCTGATAGCCTGATAGCGTAGTAGCCTGGTAGCCTGATAGCCTGGTAGCCTGGTAGCCTGATAGCGTAGTAGCCTGATAGCTTGGTAGTCTGATAGCGTGGTAGCCTGATAGCCTGGTAGCCTGATAGCCTGGTAGCCTGATAGCTTGGTAGCCTGGTAGCCTGATAGCCTGGTAGCCTGATAGCCTAGTAGCCTGATAGCCTGATAGCCTAGTAGCCTGGTAGCCTGATAGCCTGGTAGCCTGATAGCCTGGTAGCCTGATAGCTTGGTAGCCTGGTAGCCTGATAGCTTGGTAGCCTTGTAGCCTGATAGCCTGATAGCCTAGTAGCCTGATAGCCTGGTAGCCTGATAGCTTGGTAGCCTGGTAGCCTGATAGCTTGGTAGCCTGGTAGCCTGGTAGCCTGATAGCCTGGTAGCCTGGTAGCCTGATAGCCTGATAGCTTGGTAGCCTTGTAGCCTGATAGCCTAGTAGCCTGGTAGCCTGATAGCCTGGTAGCCTGGTAGCCTGATAGCTTGGTAGCCTTGTAGCCTGATAGCCTGATAGCCTAGTAGCCTGATAGCCTGGTAGCCTGATAGCTTGGTAGCCTGGTAGCCTGATAGCTTGGTAGCCTGGTAGCCTGATAGCCTGGTAGCCTGGTAGCCTGATAGCTTGGTAGCCTGGTAGCCTGATAGCCTGGTAGCCTGGTAGCCTGATAGCTTGGTAGCCTTGTAGCCTGATAGCCTGATAGCCTAGTAGCCTGATAGCTTGGTAGCCTGGTAGCCTGATAGCCTGATAGCCTGGTAGCCTGGTAGCCTGATAGCTTGGTAGCCTTGTAGCCTGGTAGCCTGATAGCCTGGTAGCCTGGTAGCCTGATAGCTTGGTAGCCTTGTAGCCTGATAGCCTGATAGCCTAGTAGCCTGATAGCCTGGTAGCCTGATAGCTTGGTAGCCTGGTAGCCTGATAGCTTGGTAGCCTGGTAGCCTGATAGCCTGGTAGCCTGGTAGCCTGATAGCTTGGTAGCCTGGTAGCCTGATAGCCTGGTAGCCTGGTAGCCTGATAGCCTTGTAGCCTGATAGCCTGATAGCCTAGTAGCCTGATAGCTTGGTAGCCTGGTAGCCTGATAGCCTGGTAGCCTGATAGCCTGATAGCCTGGTAGCCTGGTAGCCTGATAGCCTGATACCGTGGTCAGTGCTACCAGGCCAATCAGAGCTCAGTCAGTTCTGGACCTCAGGTTGGTTCTGGTCGATTCTGATGCAGAACAGGGTCCAACCTGCAGCAGGTGGGATTCCTCTGTGGTCTAAACTGGGAGCTACTGAGACACCTGGCCAAAATGGCTGTTTACGCTGGGGGTGACCTTTAACCCCCGGGTCTGGGGTTCTGGCTAAAGACTCGAATATTTACTACTTTTGTCTGTGCATGTCCTTCCTGTCCCTCCCTAATGTCTCCATTGTTTGTACTGGGACAGAGGACAGAGGGTCGGGTTGTGAACCAGGTCAGAGACACCAGCAGCTGCAGGACTCAGACTGTCCTCCATTCCTACCATAGCTGCTGCAGAGCAGGATGGGATGGGCAGTGGGGCTGCATTGTTTTCCAGCAGCTGGACATTGTCTTCATCTTTCTGTCCAGCAGCTGCTGCAGCGTGTCATGTGATCTGTTGTTTTTCTCCTGATCATTTATACTCACCAGCTGACGCCGTCCTGATGCATGTCCTGATTTATGGTCCAGGTCTACAAATACCAGAACCAACACCGTCTTTATCAGCATAGGACATTTATGAGGACATTTCTGCAATCTGAAGACATTTCTGTGGTGTGGCTAGATGTTTTATTTCCAGGACATTTGTGAGGAAATGGGAAGACAGGGACTATCTCTTTAATGAGGATGTTTTGCCCGTTCTCCGGTTTGTGCCTTCAGTCCCTCACAGGAAGCAGTCTTCATGAAATGTCTCAGCCTCAGCGCAGTCCTCAGAGGACGGTTGGTCTCAGAAACAATGTGACGTCTCGTCCCAGAGATGAAAGTTTAATGATTCTGCAGGAGAAAGTGGGATGATGAAATTTCACATCAAGATGAGCTGCTGCTGTGCCCTGGGCTCTGTCTGCAGGCGCTTCAGCGTCCCGGGTCCATGTCCTCTTACAGCAGACCTGGGCATTGTACGCCCCGCGCCACATACGGCCTGTCTAAGGTTAATTGGAAATTTCAAAATAAACATATTTTCTAATTTCACCTCGTGAATGGACTAAAGCTGCTTTGCTTTTATTTTGAAGTTTTTATTTACGTACATAAATAGGTAAATAATTTATGTACGTAAATATTTACATATTTATGTAAAAATACGTAAATATTTTTACAAATATTTTGTGCACAAGGCCCTTGCCTCTCATTCATATGCAAACAAGGCAAGGGCCTTTGTGCAAGGCCCTTGCCTTGCACAAAACTGCAAGGCAAGGGCCTTTTTGTTCATGAAATGCACAGCCTGGTGAAGGCTTTGGAGAGCCAACTGGAGAGCAACACTCTCACTCACATGCAAACCCTGAAAGAAGTCACACCATCAGCTGATTGCCTTCGCAGGTACTCATCTATGTTAGGAGCGTTGCACAGTGAGTTTTCAAGGCGATTTGAGGAGCTCAGAAAAATTGAGGATGAAATGCACATGGTTTCTTCTCCATTTACCTGCAGTGTGGATAATGTACCCAGTGATGTTCAGCTGGAACTCATTGACCTGCAGTCTGATGCAATACTGGCAGAGCACTTTAAGTCAGGATCTCTGCTTGATTTCTACTCTTCTCTTAAGGAGGGGAACTTTCCAAACATTAGGAGACATGCTCAGAAGATGTTGGTTCTCTTTGGCTCTACCTACATATGTGAACAAACATTTTCAAGGATGAACTTTACAAAATCCAGGTACAGATCCTCTCACTGATGAGCATCTGTCAGCCATGCTTCGCATCGCCACCTCAGACATTCAAGCTGACTTTGATGCACTCGCTAAAGCCCAGCAGAGACTAGATTTCTCTCACTGAACAAAAAAAAGAACTTAGGAAATACCGAATAAAGTGGTTAGACTACAAAGACATGTAAGCATGTAGGCATGTAAAGGCACCAACTAGCAGTGAACTGGAACACTTTCTTTGGAAGCCCTTTTCTCAATCAGTTCAATGTGATGTATCTTGTTTGGAGTACAAAGACAATATTGTGGTGTCTTTAGTCTGTTAAGAACCTCTTTCCAACAGTATATAAAACTCAAATGTGTTTTGGAGTGAATGTGACTCAAAATGTTCACTAATATGAGTCACAAATTGTATAAAATGTTCACATTTTGTTTACCATTGATTTGGTTAATTTGACTGAATAAATTATATTTTTTTTGTAAGGAACCAGTGGGAACCAATAGGAACCAGTAGGTACCAGTGGGAACCAGTAGTCAATAGTGGGAACCAGTAGGAACCAATAGGAACCAGTAGGTACCAGTGGGAACCAGTAGTCAATAGTGGGAACCAGTAGGAACCAATAGGAACCAGTAGGTACCAGTAGTCACTAGTAGGAACCAGTAGGTACCAGTGGGAACCAGTAGTCAACAGTGGGAACCAGTAGGAACCAGTAGTCAACAGTGGGAACCAGTAGGAACCAGTAGGAACTAATAGGAACCAGTGGGAACCAGTAGGAACCAGGAGGAACCAGTAGGTACCAGTGGGTACCAGTAGGAACCAGTAGGTACCAGTGGGAACCAGTGGGAACCAGTAGGAACCAGTAGGTACCAGTAGGAACCAGTGGGAACCAGTAGGAACCAATAGAAACCAGTAGGAACCAGTACGAACCAGCGGGAACCAGTAGGTACCAGTGGGTACCAGCAGGAACCAGTAGGTACCAGTGGGAACTAGTGGGAACCAGTAGGAACCAGTGGGAACCAGTAAGTACCAGTAGGAACCAGTAGGAACCAGCAGGAACCATTAGGTACCAGTGGGTACCAGTAGGAACTAGTAGGTACCAGTGGGAACTAGTGGGAACCAGTAGGAACCTGTGGGAACTAGTAGGAACCAGTAGGTACCAGTAGGAACCAGTAGGAACCAATAGGAACCAGTGGGAACCAGTAGGAACCAGTAGGAACCAGCAGGAACCAGTAGGTACCAGTGGGTACCAGTAGGAACTAGTAGGTACCAGTGGGAACTAGTGGGAACCAGTAGGAACCTGTGGGAACCAGTAGGTACCAGTAGGTACCAGTAGGAACCAGTGGGAACCAGTAGGAACCAGTGGGAACTAGTGGGAACCAGTAGGAACCAGTGGGAACCAGTAGGAACCAGTAGGTACCAGTAGGAACCAGTAGGTACCAGTGGGAACTAGTGGGAACCAGTAGGAACCAGTAGGTACCAGTAGGTACCAGTGGGAACCAGTAGGAACCAGTAGGTACCAGTGGGAACCAGTAGGTACCAGTGGGAACCAGTAGGAACCAGTAGGTACCAGTGGGAACCAGTAGGAACCAGTGGGTACCAGTAGGAACCAGTAGGTTAGGGTTAGGATTCTCAGTCCATCACTGACTGATTATGATGTTTTTGGAACCAAACAGTTTTGGTTTCAGAACTTTTTGGCTGCCGTGGTGATCCATTAAAAAGATCCAGTCTGGACCACAGTGATATTCTACGGATCAGAACGGAACCGTACGTCGAACGGAACGTTAAATTAATAGAAATCATTCTGAGAACATTGTAAACATTTCAGAGCTCTTCTTCTCTGGTCGTCTAGTCTGACGTCATGACGCGGGGGCGGAGTTTTGAAGGCGAGCCGGGATTCCTGAGGATTACCCGTCATGCCCCGCGGGTAAAGATGGCAGCAGATCAACTTTTCCCGGAGCTCTGAGCGGATTCTGTCTCCAGTAACGGAGCACCTCCCCGGGCCGCCGCTGCTCTCGCCGGCCGCCGTCCGGCTGCCCTGCCCACAGCGCCGCTACCGGGAGTCGGATCGGTCCGGAGCCCCCCGCTTTGCTCTCCCAGCCGGAGGAAGGACCGCGGACCTCGAGCTGAAGTTTGTCCATCCTCGGCGGAGCCGCCCCGGGCCGCGCTGGGCCGCTGACCGCCGCTCAGGTAAGCTGCCGGGGCTCCGGGCGGCCGGCGCCAGGCTGGCTGCTCGGACCGACAGACGGGAAACTGGGCCACAGTCCGAGCCGTGACGGCACCGGACCAGCTTGATGCGGTGTGACGGTGTGTTGGGTAACGTGTCGGGGCGGTAATCTGGGGCGGTTCGGGCCGGGATCCGGCACACGGAGCCCCGCTGGGTTTGTCGTGTTGTCTCCGGACTGCCTTGCAGACAGAACCCAGGGCTGCAGCGTGACTGCGCCTGACAGACCGCGGAGTGGAAAAACACTCAACGAGTCACACACACCTGCAGCCAGGCGGCCAATCAGAAGCCAGCACCCCCCATGGCTGCTGGGTCCAGGGATCCGGATCTGACCCGGATCAGTTCAGGAATCAGTTCAGGAGGAGGCAGAGCGGGATGCCAACAAGGCATTCTGGGTAATTTCCTACTGGCATAATCAGGAAAGGATTCTCCATTACGGATCAAAATGGTTCTGATCCGATCAATATCTGGTTCTGGTTCTGATCCAGATTGGACACTGGAAACCTGCAGGTGTGGTGATCAGCCCGGTTCGGTTCCAGATAGGAGGGATTAACTGGACCAGAACCAACAAACATCAGATCACTGCCTGGTTCTGCAGAATGTTCTGATTGAACAAAGACCAAACTGAACCGACCCGGCCCAACCCGCTACTCTTCTGATCACCAGAACCTGAGGACATGTCCTGCCAGTCGGTGGATCAACTGGGCCAGTGGTTCCGGAGGCTATGGAGGGACTGGTTCCGGTTCCGTCAGTCCTTAGTGGTTCTGATCAGAATCTGCAGGCACTCTGTGTTCTGAATGAAAACAGGAAGTGATGTCAGAGGTTTGGTTCTGTTTCAGCCAGACCGAGCCGGTTCTGATGGAGGATCCGGTTCACAGTGGGAGAGGAAGAGGAGACGGTGTGTGTGTGTGTGTGTGCGTGTCATATGATCCGGCCGGGTTGGTGGTTCTGGTGTGGTGTTCAGACGGGTCACATGACCCAACTCCAACCTCCCAGACAGACGATCCTCTGGCTGCAGAACCAGAAGGATGAAGGAGCAGCTCTTTGCTTCTGGTTCTGACTGACTCGACCCGGTTTGAATGACTCTTTGTTTTTTTCAGGTTTTGGATCAGAACACAGAAGAGGGTCCAATCAGAGGATGAAGAGTTCCAGGTGAGGATGACTGTGAGGTCCAGTCTGTTTAGACCTGGTCCTCCAGGTGTGTTCAGAACCGGTTCAGATCGGGCATAGGGATAGAAGGCCTCTGACTCACAATCCAAGATGGCCGCTTGGGATTTCAGGATTTGGCTGTTTTGATGTTTTGTTTTAAATTCAGAGAAAAATTAGAAAATATTGACATGTGCAGTAGAAACATAATTTATTTCCAAACTTTTAAATTTTAAACATGATTAAATGTGAAAGCGCCATGGCAATGTTTTACCATGCGGTTCTCATTAATATGCTGACATCAGTTCATCTGCTGTGGTTCGTCTTATATTCCAACAGAACCGAGTCCGATTCAGAATCCATGTGACTTCATGGACCAAAACGAATTCATGAGGAAATGAAAATGTTTGTTTAAAAATTATGATGAGATTTCTAAAGAAAATAAGAACCAAACAGTTTTTATTCCATTCTCATAAAGATATTAATTTCATTTTTATGAAATTAATAATGAAGTTTTTCCTGTAACGATTTTCTACAAAAGAAATTTAAAATAAAGATCAATTCCTGCGTTTTGAGACAAACCTTCAGTTCAAGTTCATGAATGTTTTAGAAAAATTTTCAGAAGTGAATATTTCCCATGTTTAAGTTTCAATGTGTTGAGATTTGGTGCAGCAGGGATGAAGAGTTCAATTATAATATTAACAATTTAATCCTCTATTATATGGCTTCCTAAAAATCACATCAAAGTTAAATGATTTTATTTAAGAGAGTTTTAAGCGTACGTTGGGGTTTACCCCGGTGAACGAGAGGTAGCCTCCCTCCACCTACGGATGGGGGACGGGTTCTGACTGTCGTTTGTGCTTACGGGCCGAACAACAGTTCAGTCTACCCACACTTCTTGGAGACCTTAGAGGGGGTCCTGGAGAGTCCCCTCCTGGGGACTCCCTCGTTTTGCTGGGGGACTTCAACGCTCACGTGGGCAATGACAGTGAGACCTGGAGGGGAGTGGTTGGGAGGAACGCTCCCTCCGATCTGAACTCGAGCGGTGTTCTGTTGCTGGCCTTCTGTGGTCACCACGGATTGTCTATAACGAACACCATGTTCAGGCATAAGGGTGTCCATATCTGACCTTGGCACCAGGACACCCTAGGCCGCAGTTCGATGATCGATTTTGCCATCGTTTCATTGGATCTTGAACACTCAGGTGAAGAGAGGTGCAGAGTTGTCCACCGACCACTACCTGGTGGTGAGTTGGCTCCGGTGGTGGGGAAGATGCCGGTCAGACCTGGCAGGCTCAAACGTGTTGTGAGGATCTGCTGGGAACGTCTGGCGGAGTCCCCTGTGAGATGTAACTTTAACTCCCATTGCCGGCACAGCTTCGAACACGTCCCGGGGGACGCGGGGAACATTGAGTCTGAGTGGACCATGTTCCGTGCCTCCATTGTCGAGGCGGTTTATCGGAGCTGTGGTGCCTGTCGCGGCGGCAACCCTTGAACCCATTGGTGGGCACCTTCGGTGCTGTCAGGCTGAAGAAGGAGTCCTATTGACCTCTAGGACTCCAGCTGATGGGTACCGGCGGGAAATGGGGCGCGCGGCTGTGGTGGTTGCTGAGGGAAAAAACTCGGGCGTGGGAGGAGTTCGGAGAGACCATGGAGAAAGATTTCCGTATGGCATCTGGTGTCTCAGGAGGGGGAAACAGTGCAGCACCAACACTGTTTACAATGGGCGTGGTGTGCTGCTGACCTCGACTCAGGACGTTGTGGGTCGGTGGGCAGAATACTTTGAAGACCTCCTCAATCCCACCAACATGCCTTCCATTGAAGAAGCTGAGCCTGGGGACTCTGGGTTGGGCTGTCCAATCTCTGGGGCCGAGGTGGTTAAAAAGTTCCTCGGTGGCAGGAACTTTGGTGGATGGTGGGGTGGATGAGATTCGCTCGGAGTTTCTTAAGGCTCTGAATGTTGTAGGGATGTATTGGTTAACGTGACTCTGCAGTATCGCATGGACATCAGGGGCAGTTCCCCTGGATTGACAGACTGGGTGGTGGTCTCCCTGTTCAAAAAGGGGCTCCGCGTAGAATGTGCTCCAATTATAGAGGGGTCACACTCTTAAGCCTCCTTAGCAAGGTCTATTCAAGGGTCCTGGAGAGGAGGGTCCGTCGGATAGTCGTACCTCAGATTCAGGAAGAGCAGTGTGATTCTTTTTCTGGTCGTGGAACACTGGACCAGCTCTACAACCCCAGCAGAGTCCAGGAGGGTGTATGGGAGTTCCCCCAACCGGTCTACATGTGTTTGTGGACTTGGAGAAGGTGTTTGACCGTGTCCCTCAGGGTGTCCAGTGGGGGGTTCTCCAGGAGTTTGGGGTACCGGGCCCTTTGATACAGGCTGTCAGGTCCCTGTACGACCGGTGTCAGAGTCTGGTCCGCATTGCCGGCAGTAAGTCGGGCTCGTTTCTGGTGAGAGTTGAACTCCGCCAGGACTGCCCTTTGTCACCGATTCTGTTCATTACTTTCATGGACAGAATCTCTAGGTGCAGTCAAGGCGTTGAGGGGATCCGATTTGGTGGCCTCAGGATCGCATCTCTGCTTTTTGCGGATGATGTGGTTCTGTTGGCTCCATCAGGTTGTAATCTGCAGCTCTCGCTGGAGCAGTTCGCAGCCGAGTGCGAAGCGGCCGGGATGATGATGATCAGTGCCTCCTAATCTGAGGCCGTGGTCTTGAGCCGGAAAAGGGTAGAGTGCCTTCTCCGGGTCGAGGGGGATGTCTTGCCCCGAATGGAGGAGTTCAAAAGATCCGAATGGATCTTGTTCACGAATGAGAGAAGGGAATGGGAGATCGACAGACGGATTGGAGTAGGGTCTACAGTGAAGCGATGAAACTGTACCGGTCCATCAAAGTGAAGAGCAAAGCTATCGATTTATTGGTCGATCTACGTTCCTACCTTCTTCTATGGTCATGAGCTTTGGGTCATGACCGACAGAACGAATACATGGGTCATTCGATCATGACCCATGATCGAATACAAGCGGCCGAAATGGGTTTCCTCCGTTGGGTGGCTGGGCTCTCCCTTCAAGAGAGAAGCTCAGTCATCCGGGAGGGACTCAGAGTAGAGCCGCTGCTCCTTCACATCGAGAGGAGCCAGTTGAGGCTCAGGCATCTGGTCAGGATGCTTCCTGGACGCCTTCCTGGTGGAGATCCCACTGGGAGGAGACCCACGGGAAGACCCAGGACACTCTGGAGGGACTTTGTCTCCCGGCTGGCCTGGGAACATCTCAGGGTTCCCCCGAAGTGGCTGGAAGAGGGAAGTCTGGGCCTCCCTTCTTAAGCTGCAACCCCCGCGACCCGACCCCGGATAAGCGGCAGATGATGGATGGATGGATGGAACATCTAAAAGCTTCATTTGGGGATTGTCACATGCAGCAATGAATTCTGGGTAATTAAGCCAAAGTCTGGATGCGGTTTGGCAGAGGCCCTGGGCTAGGACAACCCCAAGGGCTAAAGCAGGAAATGGAGGACTGGGATGAACTATGACCTCAAATCCTCCAACAGGAAATCACATCTGATTGATGGGAAGTGTCGGGCCGTCCGGTCCCAATGCTTCCTGTGACAGGGCCTGAAGGTCAAAGGTCAAGGTTTAAAGTGTTGCTCTGTGTTCCAGGTGTGATCCTTTCTATGGATGAAGTCTCTTCCAGAACAGTTCACAGCTCAGGTAAGAACCAGAACACACCTGGAGGGAGATTTGGAAAACCACCTGGGGAACTTGTCTGAGTCTTAGGCTAGAATCTTGAACCAAAAATTGTAACTTACCTCTGACCTCTTGCTGCTAAGCTAGCTGCTACATTACAGGGCATTTCCTGCAGGAAGTGTCATAATAAAAGTTCTTCCTGTTGTATTCATTCAGAGACTGTGGCGGTTGGTCTGGGTCGATCCGTCTCCGGGTCGGTCTGGGTCGGTCCGGGTCTGGGTCGATCCTGCAGCCCAGCACAGTTGGAGGTGGACCAGATGGTCCGGTGAACTGGTACCAGCCGACCTGGACAAAGTTGTCAGGGTTTCCCAGGCGACCTGCTCAGCCCAGCGGGGGTCCGCCGTGTTTCTGTTGTAAAAATGTTAAATTGACAGGAAATGTAAACATATTACTGGGTAATTATGAATTAGAGGAAAACATGGAGAGTGAAACTATTGAAACCGTCACCGGTCTAAACAACAAATCCAATTTTCCATGAATATGAATTATTTGCACTTTTGTTCAATCCACATTAAGGCAGCGGCTCCTTGGGGCCCCCAGGGCTCTTTGGGGCCCCCATGGCTTCAGGGGCCCCCAGGGCTTCAGGGGCCCCCAGGGCTTCAGGGGCCCCAGGGCTTCAGGGGCCACCATGGCTTCAGGGGCCCCCAGGGCTTCAGGGGCCACCATGGCTTCAGGGGCCCCCAGGGCTTCAGGGGCCCCCAGGGCTTCAGGTGCCCCAGGGCTTCAGGGGCCACCATGGCTTCAGGGGCCCCCAGGGCTTCAGGGGCCACCATGGCTTCAGGGGCCCCCATGGCTTCAGGTGCCCCAGGGCTTCAGGGGCCCCCAGGGCTTCAGGTGCCCCAGGGCTTCAGGGGCCACCATGGCTTCAGGGGCCCCCAGGGCTTCAGGGGCCCCCAGGGCTCCTGGGGCCGCCAGGGCTTCAGGTGCCCCATGGCTTCAGGGGCCCCCAGGGCTTCAGGGCCCCCAGGGCTTCAGGTGCCCCATGGCTTCAGGGGCCCCCAGGGCTTCAGGGGCCCCCATGGCTATAGGGGCCCCCATGGCTTCAGGGGCCCCCAGGGCTTCAGGGCCCCCAGGGCTTCAGGGGCCCCAGGGCTTCAGGGGCCCCCAGGGCTTCAGGGCCCCCAGGGCTTCAGGGGCCCCAGGGCTTCAGGGGCCCCCAGGGCTTCAGGGGCCAGAAATAATCATATTTTAACACAGAAGCAGAAATGAAACCTTCTTTTATTGAGATGATCAATGCTGCTAAATTTGATGTCACAGTTTTAACATAAACTAAAAGATTTTAAATTGTTTAACATTTAAATGTACTTTTAAGGAGCTGGAAAGTTTATTTTATAAAAGATCAAAGAACAATATTCATAGTTAGATTGTTTGTTACCACAGCAACAACCTGATGCTGAGTTTGTTGACAAATATAAATTAATAAACTGTAATTAGAACTGATAGTTTTCAGGTTGGCCAGTTAATCTACTTTAATCTCCCAGATTAAATCCAACAGAAGCTGCTAGAGGTTCTGATGTTTTAGCAGCAAGAGGGGCCCAACAGTCAGGTTCTGCCCCACAGTCAGGTTCTGCCCCAACAGTCAGGTTCTGCCCCACAGTCAGGTTCTGCCCCAACAGTCAGGTTCTGCCCCGGGCCTCATGCAGCCTCGGACCGGCCCTGCAGGATGAGTTCAACCTTCTGCACTGCATAATCAGGTTAGCGCTGGCTCGTTACGGCTAATGCTGCGGCCAACCAGGAACACAGACATGAACTCTGAGCGCAGACTGAGCGCAGGCTGAGCGCAGGCTGAGCTGGGCGGCGCGTTGAGATGGAAAAGAAAACAATTCTTTGTCCACAAATATAAATCGTTCTCATCGTTCTCTCACTGCAAGTTATTCCTGCGGTTCAAGTGGAGCTGCGCAGCCAGAGCAACGCGGTGGGTTTAAACTCCGACCTTGATGTGCAAATCTCCAGAGAAACATAATTCCACACTAGTTGGATGGAGAAGAAACAAATATTAAAATGAGTTGCTATGGAAAAGGTGTTTAAATAATACTGTTCCTGCAGGATCAGCTTCGAGTTTTCATCCCCATTAATCGATCTGCGTTGCTATAAACACGCTCACCCACAGGGGGCAGTGTAGCAATAAACTGAACTCTGTCAGCCAGTAGGGTGGCTTCTAAACTTCCTGTTAGGAATCCAACATGGCGTCATGTTGGATTCCTTTTAAACAGCATATTATTATTTTTACATTATGTTATGTACAGATAATGGAACGGTCAGCGCTGACAGACGGTTTGTTTAAATCTCCTCTTTAGTCTGAAGATTTATAAATAATCATATTTTATAAGCAGAGTTTTGGTCTGGATGAAAAAGAAAGGTCGAGTATCGACCTTTCTTTTCATATCTTTCTTTTCCAGATATCTGTGGACCAAATAAACGTCTTTATGATTCAGATCCAACTTCTAGATTGAACAAGATCTGGAATATGCAGAAAAACGGTGGAGAAAGATCTGGAAGAGATTCCGACCAAAATCAGAAACAAAACGAACAAAACAACCAGAAGCTCCAGAAACCCACAATGTTTTCCGATCCGCTTCAGGAAAAACCACCACAACCAGAAAAGTCTAGAAAAATATGTAGATATAAAATGAGTAGAAACGCCTGGAGGAAGATCAGGAAGCAGAAACCCAGAAGTCCTGACAGACGGGCGGGGCCACACAGATCGATGCCCTGATTGGCTGCTGGTCACGTGACCCAGACAGACTAAATGGAGCGGAAAGTCACAATTACGGCTCCGATCCCCGCAGCAGCACCGTTAACCCTGGACCGGACCGATTCAGGTGAACCGGTCCGGTCCAGAGTTTCTGGTCCAGTCCTGGTTTTTGTTTCTGTGCTGCAGTCCAGGCCTTCCTGTCCTCTGGTTCTGTGGTTCTGAATGAGTCCAGTTGTCCTAATCCAAGTTTGTGTCCTCCCATGAAATGTTCTGATGACCTGGCTTATGATGTCACCTGTATGACATCATCACACACCTGCTGATAACTGAGTGGCTCTGAGTGCCGGCGCGGTCCGGATCGATCCAGCTGCACTTCCTGTTCTGGAAACAAGAGCTGATCGATGATTGGCCCGGGGCCGACACACACACACACACAGACACACACACACACACACACACACACACACACACACACACACACACACTCTCTCTCTCTCTCTCAGCTGTGAGGGGCGGGCGAGTATCGACCTGCACTCAGAGGCAGAGCGTTGCCGTGACGCTGGGCAGTCGGGTCGGGGTTTCGTGGCGAGCGGTCGGTCGGCAGGTGAGCGGCGCCATCGTGTCTCTGACTAGCTGATCTTTGACTCGTTGTCCCAGCAGGACCGCAGACCCGACTGGAACCAGCAGGCAGGATGGCAAGCGCCGGCCCGGCCAGGAAGCCGTACCGCAAAGCTCCGCCGCAGCACCGCGAGACGCGCCACGGCCTGACCCCCGCCTCGCCGCCGCCCGCCCCGCGGCCCGACTTCAGCCAGGTAACCCTGCCCCCGCGGTGGCGCGAGCCGGCCCCGCCCCCCTCCGACAGCGAGCCGGACGTCTCCAGCCTGTCCAGCCTGGAGCTCTACGTGCCGCCGCCGCCGCCCTTCAGGAGCTCCGCCCACCGACCTGAACGCCACGCCGCGAGTCAGAGCAGGGCAGGTCACCCAAGCTACGCCCCCTCCAGGAGGCGCTCCCCGGTGCGGCACCGACCCAGCCGGACCCAGCGGGCCGCCCCTGCCCGTGCCGCCGCCCCCAAAGGCATCCTGAAGCAGCCGGTGGCCGTGGGGGCGGAGCCGACCTATGACACGCTCAGGAAGCCAAAGTCGGTGGAGCTGCTGGGTGACGGGCGGCGGGGGGCGGAGCATCGGCGGCCGTCCTCGCTGCAGTCGCTGGCCCCGTCCTCTTCCGCCTGGAACTGGAGGATGCAGGTTCTGGAGGAGAAGGTCCGGTTCTCCAGCTTCCTGGATGAGATCACTTGCCGTGTCTTAAGCCCCGCCCGCCTCACGCAGCTCGGCAGGCCGCCAGCAGATCTCAGAGGCCCCGCCCACCAACACGGCCGCCGTCCCATCGCCAGCCAACGGTCAGCAGACCGAACCCGGCGCTGGGACAGCTGGGTGGCGTCGATAAGGCCACACGACGGCTGGAATCGGCCTCTGGCGAGGGCGGGGTGCGGTGACATCACCCGTGGGGCGGAGCTTAGAAAGGTGACTGAGGTCAGGCAGAAACTCAGACCCCCCCTGTCCAATCTGTCCCTGCTGTCCCACATCAAGGTAGGTCACAGGTCACTCGGCCTCCTCTTCCTCACGTCCCACCCTTCATCTTCCTTGCTCTCCCTCAGCGCAAGAGGTGCGTTTGTTTTCTCCACCTGGTTGGTCCAGGACCGGACATGATGATGGGGATGATCTTCAGGTTCTGATTCAGCAGGTTCTGTTGGGTTTCTGGCCGGGTCTCCAGAGGAACCGTTCCTGGGTTGTTCCAGGACTGCTCTCTGATTGGCTGCTGGCCTCGTCTACAGCTTGGTTCTCTGAGCGGGTCGGGTTGGTACCGGCTGATAGCCGTGATGCCCCGCTGCATGCTGGGAGCCAGAAACAGGTTCACAGGACACTGGAAGACGGCTGGGTTCCTGCTGGTTGCTGTTTGGGTTCTCACTGGTGCCAGTTTGCTAGTTTTAACTAGTTTGGGTTTTGTTCTGATCCGGACCAGTCCGAAGCAGGATCTCTGGATGGAGCCTAGGAAGAAACATCTGATTCTGACAAAGTTCTGTCTTTGGATTTCTCTGTGGTTTTGGACCAGTTTGGATCATGTTTTGAACTGGTTTCTGATCCCTTTCTTGTCGGGTTCTGGACTGGGATCTAGCTGGTTCTCCAGAACCGGATATTATTTGACTGAAAGAACATCTGGAATTCTGGGAATTCCAGATCGGTTCCAGTCGGCTTCAGCCGGCCCCAGTGGGCTCCAGTTGGTCCCAGTAGTTTCTGTCTCTTCTCCTCATGTTGACTCCAGTTCTCCCTGACCCGGTTCTATTCCAGTAGTCCAGTGGTGCCCAAAGTGGGTCCCTGAGGGCCGGCGTCCTGCATGTTTTAGTCTCTCTGGTTTAACGTACCTGGATCCAATGGTGGCTCGCTAGAGGCCTGAGGAGAACATTGACCTGCTGCCACCAGGGAGACTAAAACATGCAGGTGCAACCGGCCCTCCAGGACCCACTTTGGGCTCCACTGCAGTAGTCGGTATCGGAGCGGACCGGCGCTCCGCCTGTGGTTCGGAGAGCGTGGGTCTGAGGATGGCTTGTTGGTCCGCTGAGCCTAATTCTGCTTCTGCTCCGTTCCAGGAGGCGCTGTCGGACTCCGACAGGATCAGGTGAGTTGGTCTGGTCCCTTCTTTACAAGTATCCAACATCCTGACCTTGCTAAAGCACTTCCTGTCCCGCCACCTTACCCAGAATTCTCCAGCAGCAGAACGAGGACCTGCGGCACCGCCTGTCACGCTCCACCCACAAGATGGAGGCCATGGAGGCGGAGTTTGAGGGCAGCCGTCACTACATGGAGGCGGAGCTCAGCCGGACCAGAGACGACCTGGACAATGAGGGACAAGTTCCGCAGGTGAGGAAGACGACGATGAAGAGGTCAAAATGTCTTCATCACCTGATCAGCTGCTGTTTACAGGAACATTGAAATAAATAGTTGTTATTTTATATTAATATAACTGAGAATCGGACACTGAAGTTCACTGGCTAGCCCAACTTTAGCATTGTGCTAGCATGTGTAGCCTTTGTACAAAGCTAAGTTAATAGCATTATGCTATTAACGTAGCATGTTAATGTTATGTTAGCTAGGTGATGTTAGCCTTCTCCTGGTAATGTTAATGGTAATGTCAGGATTGTATAAGTGTTATCTTATTGATGTTAGCATTAGCCTGGTGATGTTAGCAGTAGGTTAGCATTAGCCTGGTTGCGGTTATGTCCTGCTGCCTCATCCTCTGGTCTGCTGAGTTAACGAGGTTCTAGTTGTTGGATCCGTCTACTGGAACTCGGTCCGGTCTTGGTTGTGTTGTGACCCAGGCCTCTACTGTCAGAGGGTCAGTAGAACCTGCTGATGGTGTCTAACCTCTGACCTCTCCCTGCAGACTCCAGAACAGCTACACGGCGTCGCAGCGAGCCAATCAGGACCTGGAGGAGAAACTGCACGCTCTGGTAAGCTCTGATGCGTTGATGCTGCGCGGCATCAGATGGTGGCGCTCCATCCTGTCAGCGTTTCGCTGCCATGTTTGGGCTTCCTGTCGCGTCCCACTGACGGGCGCGTAGTGAGCATCCTGATTGGTTGCCTGGCTGACCTCATTAGTAATGAATGAAGCTCATTGATCCTCAGAGGGCATCGATCAGCTGGGAAAGCCTCGACTGACAGGTCCGGACCTGGAGGAGGTTCTGCTGGGATTTCCTCCAGGTGCGTCTTGCTACAGAAGCTGCCATGTTTGGGCCGGGCGGGTTCATTGGCGTCGACCCGTTTAAACCAGAACCACTTGGTGGCCGGAAACAGCTGCTGGTTCTGATCCGGTCCAGACGGGCTTCGAGTCACAACAGAAACGGGCTGAACAGCCAGAGGTTCTGGTCCAGATTCTTCTCCTCAAACTGGGAAGCTGTAGTGAAACAGAACCTTCTCTGAGCCAAGTTCAGGCCGGTTCTGGATCCAAAGATTGGCTTTGACAGCAGGCGGTTCTGACAGGATCAAAAGGTTCTGCTGTGACGTTTGTGCTGAACTGATGATGATGATGATGTCTGACCACTCTTCTTCATCTCTTCTTTCCTCACGCTGCTCTGATGGACTCATCTTCATCTCATCCTCATCCTCCTCAGGCTGCCGTCAGTCAGACATGGGTTCATGCAGTTGGGTTTCATTCATCCTCATCCCTCCATCCTCTTCCTCTCTTTTTGAACACCACGTGTCCTCAGTCGGCCTTTAAGAGCCAAACATTGAAATATCAGAACGATTCAGAACCTTCTGGGTCGGACTTTAACCCGGCCGACCTGTAGCAGGACCTGGTGTTTGATCAGAGTTCTTCTCCTCCATCTCTGTAGTTCCACCTGAACAGCTTCAGGTGTGAAACGAACTGCTAACGTGTCGCTCGTCGGACGGGTCAGGACGGTTCTGGTTCTGCCAGACGGATTCATTTTATCCTGAACAGTTTCAAATCAAACACTCCTAAAAGTAGGTCTGCTTTAAGGCCTTAGCCTTAGTATGCTAATGTTAGCATTAACCCAGCGTTAGCAGGCTGACTTTAACGTTCCAATATTAGTATTGGCTGTTGTATGCTTACTACTAATGTTAGCTTAGCTTTAGCATGCAAATGTTAACATTACCCCAGATTTAGCATGTTGAAAATAGTCTTGCCATCTTAGCATGCAAAGGTAAGCATAACTTTACCTACAACATCCTGATGTTTGTGTTAGCATCATAGCATGCTAATATTAGTCTTACTTTAGAATTAACATGCTGACATTGTTAACATCTTAGCATGCTACTATTTGCATAACATTAGCTTTAGCATGTTGATGTTACGGTTGGTAAGATCCTAGTATGCTAATTTCATCTTTTCCTAATGCTGGCATGCTGTTGTCAGGGTTAATGTAATCTTAGCATGCTAATGTTAGCATAGCTTCATCATTAGCTAGTGGGATCAGGATTAAGTTCATATATTAATCATAAACTTAGCCTCAGCTTGCTAACAGAAAGGCTACCTTTACAGTAACCAGACAGAAGTGAGAAGTTGTGAATTAGATGCCAGGTTAGAATTTGGGGCCAAAGGTCATCCTTGGTCTTCGCAGAACGTCCTGATCCGCCGGCGCTCTCGCTGAACTTCGTTTGCTTTGGGCAGATTCAGATTATTAAACAAGTTTTTTTCAGCTTTGATGCTTTGATCAATATCCAATCAGATAGTATTGATCTTGTGGCGCTGCGTCCCATCATGCAGGAGGCAGCGCTGCTCGCTAACGCAGCATTCAAATGATCTGGGAAAATGGAGCGTTCCCACGGAAGTGTTCGGATCTGAGAGGAGCCGTTTGAGGGAGGAGCTGACCTGTTATTCCCACATTATCTGAATGTATTGGTCCACGCAAAGCCCGCCCACTAACAGCACTGCCTTCTGATTGGCTCCAACATGTCGTCTGCTTGCAGCTGCGGAAGGTGGAGAGGGACAAAAAGACGATGGACCAGGAGATCGTGGAGCTCACCAACAAACTTCTGGATGCTAAAAACACCATCGACCGCCTGGAGGAGCTCAACGTAAGAACCCGCTGTCACCAGTTTCCATGGAAACCACGTTGGCCTCTTATTGGCTGTGAGGTTAAATCTGGGTTTCTATTGGTTCTCATGTTTTCATCAGATTTGGTTGTTTTCTTTTGACTCCTAAGTGTTTATTGTTTAGTTGGTGTAGAGAAGCAGCTCCTCTCCTGCAGAACCATGTAGAACCCAGTGCCTGTTGCATCACATGACGAGCTGGCCGTGTGTGTGTGTGTGTGTGTGTGTGTGTGTGTGTGTGTGGTGTGTGTGTGTGTGTGTGTGTGTGTACAGGAGCGCTACAGGCAAGACTGCAACTTGGCCGTTCAGCTGCTCAAATGCAACAAGTCCCACTTCAGGAACCACAAGTTTGCTGACGTAAGTACATGAGACGGTTCTGGGTCCCAGCAGAACCAGGAGGCGGTTCTGAATGACTCAGCAGCTTCATTCTGTCCCGTAATCTGCTTCATAACAGCAACCAGGAATAAACAGAACGTGTTGCAGACCATGGGTCTACCAGCACCCTCCGAAACGTCGTCCTGCATTTCCCAAACATCTCCTGGAAACATCTGAAAACCAGAAGGGAAATTTCCTGGACTTTCCAGGAGTTCAGAAGGAATCTCATCCAGAGACGCAGAGGAGGCAGATTTATAAAGGAAGGGACAGATAGCTGTTAGCTGCTCCGCGTCCTGGAGCAGCTAACAGCTAGCGGCTAAACGCTGGTTCTGGTCAGGTTCTCTGGTCAACTGTTGCAGCAATGGTTGCCATAAACAGTGATTCTGTGGGCAGAGCCCTGACTGAAGGCGGCCATTGACAACACGATGAAGAGTTCAGGGTCATCTTCCTCACCACCAGACCCACAAGCTGCTGACTGGACCCAGAACAGGTTCTGGAGAACCACCCAAGTTCTGGTTCTGTAGGGATTCATAGATGATCCATTTTATCCATCATGTTTGAGCCAAAGGCAAATCGATCAGAGGATCAATCTCTGAATGATAATCCAGCTAAAGTTCTGCAGTTTGGAACCATGAAGGTTTCTAACTTCCTCTGTCCTGATTGGCTAGACATTTGCTCTAGCCAATCAGAAACGTTCAAAGATTGGAAAGAACAGATTTTCTTTCTGCAATAAAATAATATATAATTCACAATAGGGATTTTATTTTAAGCCCATCGCCCCGTCACAGCTGGAGGATGCAGCCTGGACATTCATCTCAAACACAGTATAGGTGTGGAAAATGGAGATGAATGTCTGAGTCCAGCCAATTAAATCACAAAAAAACCCAGAACTATAAAAAGAAATGGATTTATTGTAGGAAGTGATCTATTGATCAATCAATCGATCGATGGTGTTAATGGCTGCAGCTTGTCCATTAGCCTCAGCTTCCTGGAAACTGCTCACATTTATGTTCACTGTTATGTTTTCTCTTATTGTTGTTATTCTATGAGATTAATTTTTCTCCTTCCTGTCCAGCTGCCTCGGAGCTGCAGGAAATGCTCAACAAACACATGAAGTCCAGCCTCCCGGAGCGAAGCCCCGCCCCCGGCGGCCAGGACCCGGACACGCTGAGCCTGACGCACGCCGACGTCGTGCCGACCTCCGTCATCGCCCGCGTCCTGGAGAAACCCGAGCCGCTGGTTCTCAACTCGGCCCAGTCCAGCAGCTGCGGCCGGCCGGTGGCCGAGGACGTCTTCGTCCACGTGGACATGACGGACCCGGCCGGCGCCGAGGCCCGGGACGACGGCGCCGGCCGGGAGGCGCCGCAGCACAACGGTTCCTGCCGCAGCCAGAACAGCCTGGAAGAGGAGGTGGCGGGCTCCGGCCTTCGAGAAGCTCAACCCGTACCCACCGCCGCCTCCGCCTCACCCGCTCTACCCGGGTCGCAAGGTCATCGAGTTCTCGTCTGACGACAAGGTGAAGATCCCCAAGAACTCGCCGCTACCCAACTGCACTACGCCACGAGGCAGGCCATCTCCCTGAGCCTCGTCCAGAACGACGACGAGCGGGTCGGCCCCGGAAGCCCCGCCCCTTCCTCCTCGTCCGGCGGTGGGCGGAGCCACCAACACACGCCGCCATCGCAACGAGACGCCGCGAGCGAGGCGCTCTCCGCTCAGTCCAGCCCCTTCAGCAGCCCCCGCAGGTAAGCCCCGCCCAACAACAGCTGGCCAATCAGAGATCAGGTTAGAACACGGGCTTGATGATGGAGGTCTGGTTCTGGTCACTTTACTCGGCTGGTCTGACGGATCCAGAACCTTCAGGTACCATGGTAACCTTCTGAGGATTGGTTTTGACCCAGTTGGACCTCCAGCAGAACCAAGCCAGGGAGCGGTTTAGACCAACGTGGAGCTGCATCAGACCAAACGAGGATCTGTAGCAACTCCAGACCCAATCGGACCCCCATCCGGGTGGGAGGAAGGTTCCCTATCCTAGTCCATCCATCTTCTGATCGCCCTTGTCCCTATTGGGGTTGGGAGGTGCTGGTGCCTCTCCAGCTGCGTTCCAGGAGAGAAGCGGGGTCACCCTGGACAGGTCGCCAGTCCGTCACAGGACAGAGACAGACAGGACAAACAACCGCACGCACACGCACACACACACACACACACACACACACACACGCGCACGCGCGCGCGCACACACACACACACACACACACGCACGCACGCACCTTGGGAGAATTTGGAAAGACCAATTAACCTGACAGTCCTTTTTTTTGGGTTAGGGAGAGAACCCACCATGCACAGACACAACATGCAAACTACGTGCAGAAAGACCCCGGGCCGGGAATCGAACCCAGTACCTTCTTGCTGCAAGGCAACAGTGCTACTAACTGTGCCACTGTGCAGCCTGGGTTCATAGTCCTTATGTCCTTATACCCAGATTTCCTGTTAAAAATAATACTGACATATCCCCATGAAGTGCCTGATGCTCCTGGATTCCTGGATGCTCTCATGTTTCCCCATGTTGGGTCATCATCCCCTATTTCCCATTGTCAGCCCAACCCGATGTTAAATCCTCTCCCATGTCCGTATTCAGTCCACCCGAATTCCCATATTAAATCCTCAATGTCCCGGTGAGAAGTCCTCCCAATAGTCCTATCTTAAAGCCTCCTCCATATCCCAGTGCCGCCTGGTGGCAGTTGGTGGAACTTCCCCTAACTGAGGACACAAGGGAGGATTAATTCTATTTTTTTGGTGAACTTTGCCCTCTTTACCGGGCTGTCACGGGGTCATTGTGGGTGTTAAAAATTCTGAACTCTGGGCGTAAGGGTTACGGGATGGCATTTTCTGGGGACCACCATCCCGTGACCCTGTGACCTTTGGTTACCCCCCCAGAATTTTTCATTTTTTGTTCCCGGATGTCATTTTGTCCACCCTGGACCTTAATATGGGAGGACTGGGGTTTGCTTCCCACTGGCTGCAGTTCCTGCTTTGTTTAAATCAAGTGTTTAGCTGGACAAAAGGAGGATGCAGAGATCCTACTATATGTCATGCACTTTAGTTACCCTGGCTGCAGTTGTCCTGTGGCTATTTTACATCAGTTGGATGGGCTGGAAACATGTTCCACAATCTTTAACAGAACCTGAAAAGGAGAGTTGTAGAATCTATAGATAAAACCAGAAGTTCTGTTGGTCATTCTTCTTCTGTGGTGCTGGTCCATGTCTTCTGCCCAGGCTAATGCTAATGCTGACCTCTAATCACATGACCCTGCAGGCGCCGAGCGTCCCGGCAGCTCCGCCAGCTCCGAGGAGGATCTGCTTGCCAACTGGCAGCGGATGTTCGTGGAGAAGATGGCGCCCTCTAGCGAGGGTTCCGTGATGCACCGCACCTCGTTCAGCAGCCAGACGGCACAGGAGCTGCAGAGGCGGCGGCAGACGGCTGGGGGAGGGGCCAGCTCAGACCGCCACAGGACGGCGTACTCGGACGGAGAGGAAGGCTCGTCGGCACGCAGCTGGACGCCGAGCCGCGGCTCCAGTCTGGACACGGATACCGACACGGAACCGCAGCCCGGCAGGAGGCGCTACGGCGCCGGGAACAGCCCAGAGGAGGCGGAGCTGCTGATGGACCTGGAGGACGAAACCGGCAGCGCGGACACTGCCGTCACCGTGACGACCACAGACGCCCACAGGACGACTGTGGAGGACGACAGCTCGGCCGAAGAGAGAGACATTCTTCCACGCGAGCTGCCCGCCATCTCGCCCCGCCTCCTGGAGTTCGACCCCATCCCTGGCCCACAGCGGCCAATGAGGAGCCCCAAGAGGATGGGCGTGCACCACCTGCACCGCAAGGACAGCCTGACCCGAGCCCAGGAGCAAGGCACGCTGCTGGACTGACCGTCGCCGCGGGATCCTAGCCGCAGGCTCTGCCCAGAAAATAGCCATACCTGACGTACGCTGCCGATCGAGTCCACTTCCTGTTTACACAAACAGACAGGATCCAGAAAAATTGGCCATCCTTTAATTTGGCGATCCAGAGCCGCTCCACCGGGTGACCCAGCGGTTTTTTTATTTTACTTCCTGTTTTGTGATGCGACGTCATCATCAGGAAACCGTCATCAGTGTTAGAAGGTGAACTTTGACCTGAGGTCCAGCCTTACCCGGTTCCTGATTATCAGTGTGGTTCTGAATCAATGTCGGAAACCCAGAAATGTCTCATTTCCCCAAACAGATGCTTTTATTTTGAAAGAACAAATTGGACACCTCAGATTCTCAGTGCCTCCATCACTTCCTTTCCAGAGGTTGTGAGTTTGATGCTGGGCTCAAGTTAAAGGCTTTTATTTTGATATCTGTAGCTGCTGGTTTCCTGTCGTGTGATCAGCAGGTGATTGGCTGGTGTTTGTCCCCACCCCCTCCACCTCACACACTGATTGTCTCACAGGGGGCGGGGCAGTGGACGGAGCTCCAGCTCACTTGGAATGTGTCATCACCATTTTGCTTCTGAAATCTGACTTTCTGATTGGTCACCACTGAGTTTGATTTGCTTTATGATTTCTACGGCATCCTGTTAGTGCCAAAACATGGCTAAAGCTCCTCCTGGTGGTGACGGGAGGAAGTACAGCTCTGTTTTTGGTGCCTCAGGGCTTCCATAGCCAGCGGCGCTGGGCCTCTGCGGCGCCAGTCCTAATGTGGACCCGCCTCCTCACAGTGCTGATTGTGGCTCATCGGACCAACCAGCCGATCACTGAATGTTCTGATGAGCGGTTCTGGCCGGATCCGTTACTGAATGTTCCGTCTCTCACCAGAACTTTTTCTGTTCTGAACGTTCAGAAATTATTTTCATAAAAACTGAAATATTTGGTTTATTTTGATTCTGGTTGAATGTTTGCTTCTTCAGTCTCAACAACTTCACACGTCAACCATTTGGGTCCAGTTTCCTGTCCAGATCTGATCAGAACCTCTGTTCACTCTGAAGGTTCGGGTTCGTAATCCTGAAGAACTCAGCAACCCAGATCAGAGAGTTCTTCAGAACTCTCCGACCCATTTCTGTCTGAGGATAGCAGAAATTTCTGATGCTCAGTTCTGAGGTCTGGTCTGTGTTCTGCTGAATTCTGGTCCAAACCATCTGGATTTAGTCACCATCAGAGCTTATTGGGTTGGAACCTGGATAGAACCGGTTCCAGTACCAGAACCGGAGCTGAGTTAGGGTTCTGGATCGGTTCTGGAGGCAGGAATCAGAACCTTTTGACCCAAACAAAACTGGTCCAGCCAATCAGGTTTTACTGCAGAGAATCAGCTGCTGATGAATTATTCACTCTTTTCCATCTTGTTTGGTTCTGCTGGTTCTGAGGTTTTGGGTTGGTTTTGAGCCACCGGGTCATATGCAGGAGGTTCTGTCCAGTCTGAATCTGAACTGTTTCTGGGTTAGAACCAGAACCAGCAGAACTTCAGCTACAGGTCCTCACAGAGACACATTGACCCGCCTGACCGTGTGCTTAGTATCTCATGAGCCCCACAAGGCTGGAAGACGAGTGTGTGTGTGTGTGTGTGTGTGTGTGTGTGTGTGTGTGTGTGTATGTGTCCTTCCTCCATCTTTAATAACTCTTCCTAATGAACAGAACCAGCCAGGCTCACCTTCATAATTCCTTCTCTCCCCCACCCTCCATTTGTTTGACCTCTGACCTTCTGATTATGGTCTGTACTTCTCCTATTGATTATCACTCAGATTTAATTATTCAATCTGATGAAGGATCAGAACCTTCTGGACCACAACCTTTGGTTCTGGATTGGTTCTGAGACTTATCAGATCCACTGACCTCAACAGAGGACTGAGATCATGACCCTGAGGAACGCTGACAGGAACCAGAACCTTCCTGTCCTCGTTGAACCAGTGTGTCAAAGATCCGTTTGAACGTTTTCTCAGATTAATATATGTATTAACAATCAGACTGAAATTCATCTGATCAGCACCAGAATGATCCGGTTCAGCCACGTCCGAATTGATTGACCTGAGTTCCATCAGAACCACTTCAGTTAGTGATTTGGGTTGGGAAGTTCTGGTTCTGCAGGTCAGAACTCAGTTTGAATCATTTTATAGTCTCCCTTTGACCTGGTCTCCTTGGAGATTCTGGAGAACCATCAGAACCTGATATAAACTTGGCATGAAGTGAGGCGGTGCGTTTGGGCGTCTCCTGATGTGTTTGGGTGCCATCAGTGTTTTTCTCCACTCTGACGCTGAATGAAGCTCATTCGGAGCCGAGGCCCTCACCTGGACTCACCTGGGGTCACCTGGGGTCAAGTGGACATTGATCGGGGGACTTAAGCCCAGCTTCCTCCAGGTGCTGCTCTCACCTGGCTGAGCTCAGCGGTTTCTGCTCCAGAGAAATCTCTGACTGTTAAACTGGTTTTATTTTCTCAGTTTGAAACAATGATGTATATTTTAAAAAAAATAAAATATTTTAAACGAAGCTCCGCCTCCTAGCTTCCCTCCATCTGCACAGCTGCTCCTGCAGGTTCCTCGAGATGTTCCAGGATGTCCCACCGGCCTTGAACGCATCATCTCACCTGCAAATCCCACAGGTAAGAAAGTCTCACCAAAAACAGAAGAATTATTTGTTTCTCAGTGAATGTTAAGCGTTGCGTTCTCATGAGTCACGTTACACACAGACAAATCGTGTTTGCTTTGTGACACTAATTTAGCTCCATAAGTTCTGCTGTGTTTTTGGGGGGATTAGCTTTGACAGGGAGGTTCGTTAAAGCTGATGGAGGGAAGAGCTTGGATCTGGATCGGATCAGAACTTCCTGAAGGAGATCCAGACATCAGGATGAGCTGAACTCAATGATTTCCAACAAAACTGAAGAAAACGTCTCAAACGTGGAATGAAATAATTGATGCCAAATCCTGGGAAATGTTGCACAGCTGAATCTTAAGGCACAATGAGATGATGCATCTAAGAAAATCAGAATTTTTCTAAAAAGTGAAATATTCTCATCAGTCGTGTCAGAAAGTGAAAGTTGTTTTATAGAAAAGAGTTTCGCTCCCCAGACTGCCAAGTGAAAAACAAAATACTTTATGATATTTCAAACATATTCTATATCTGCTGCTTCGGTCCAAATGAGACAAGAATCCATTTACATCCGGGTTCTGGTTGGGTCCTGGTGGCGGTTCAGACCGGTTCTAATCATTTTCGTCTCCCAGCAGGTTCTGGATCGGTCAGCAGTATTTGAAGTCTTCTCTGAGTTCTGGTTCTGCTATCAGAACCCGTCCAGAACTTCTTCAGATCTTTTAACTTCTGCCTGTTTGTGCTCTGCTGCTCCCTGCTGGAGGCTGGAGGAACAGCAGGGAGCCGGTTCTGCTGGGTCCTGATCCAGAACCAGCAGAACCTGGAGCTCAGAGGAAATGTTCTGGAGAAGATTACTGGAGGAAGAAGCAGGGACTGAACTGGGACCGGTTCTGATCCGGTCCAACAAAATCTGTTTGAATCAAACTTTATTTAAACCTGAAACATCTGATCAGATGACGTCAGGATTCAGATCATCTGTCCATCACTTCTTCTTCTTCTTCTTTTCTCTGCTTCCTGTGACGCTCGTAGACCTCCAAGATCTCCTTGACGACGGACGGACAGTCCAGAGTCCACGCATCGCCTTCTGGAGGATCCGCCTCCTGATCTTCCCAGATCGAGTTTCCGGCAGGTGCTTCACCTGAGAGACGAGAGATGGAATGGGCGGGGCTAACGCGGAGTGGGCGGGGTCAGTGTGCAATGGGAGGAGCTATTCAGCCCACTTTGTCTAAATCTAAAATCCGGTGAAGGATTGTGAATCGGGTCAGAACCTTCAGCTGACAGGGTGTGGCTAGGAAGGGGGCAGGGAGGTCATAGGTCACATCGTCCTTCAGAACCACGAAGGCCAACAGGACAGAGCAGGTCAACACACACACACACACACACACACACACACACACACACACACACACAGGAGGTTAAAAGTCTTGTATGAGTTTATTTTGAAAGACATTCATAAATATCCAAATTGTTTCAGGAGACTCGGTTTGATGTTTAGGTTTACGGCTGACAAGTTGATGCTTTTTCTTCTTTGATTTATTTAAATCATCTGTTGTGGATTTGATTAGGCCGTTAAGTTACTTATTTCTAATCTTTATGAAATAATTAAACTCTTGAACGTTTGCAGCTTTCCATTTAGACGGAGGATCAAAGTTCAGGTTAATCTTAAACTGGGCCCAACTGGACCCATCAGAACCTCTCAGTTCGGTCCGTGTGACTTGAAGCTGCGCTGAATGACCAGCAGGGGGCAGCAAAATCTCTAACTAAGAATCTTTTAAGCTAAGTGAGGTGGGGGCAGTGGGGAGGGGGCAGTGGGGAGGGGCAGTGGGGGGGGGCAGTGGGGAGGGGGCAGTGAGGTGGGGGCAGTGGGGAGGGGGCAGTGGGGTGGGGGCAGTGGGGAGGGGGCAGTGGGGTTGCTTGGTTGTTAATTGTCCGCTGAGCTGCAGATGTTCTGCTGCTCATCGTTCCAATCAGTAGGATTTAATGTCGGGTCGGCTTCCAGGACCAGAACCAGATGTGGAAGGAGCTAACGGACCTCCATGACCTCTGACCTCCAGAGACAGCAGGAAGGTTCTTCTGAGATCAGAAACTGGGAGAACTGGGAGGAAGTCCCTCTGACTGGTTCTGTGATGCTGCGAATCACCTGCAGTTAGTGGTGCAAAAGGTGATGTACTGCATGCAGCCCACAGGGGGCGCTAAAACGATGTGGGGATTTTTTTCTAGTCAGCATTTCTGAGTCAAGCTAGGCTAGCTTAAGCTATAAGCTAGGCTTTATTCATTATTGCTATAATGTCTGATAGACACTCATATGACACACATCTCAAGTATAAGTGTGATAATAAACAGATTCATAATTAATGAGTATTATAATGAGAAACTGTTTATTTTTTCAACATTAGAAACGTTTGTTGGGATTGTGCAGGAAAACGTTGATATATTTTATAAAACAATGTTTTGTCCTCAATATTATTTCATCATTTTATTAATTTGGGTTGCCAGTTTGGATCAGGCTTCATATCAGCTATGATATAAAACATGCTAACAAAATATGTAGTTAGCCACCAGGTGTCCACCAGGGGGCAGCGTCCCTCCACCACCACGCTGTGGAACCGGTACCAGGTCTTTTGTTTTATTGGAAAGAATTTCAGCTCTGATGAGGATCTGCTGTGGAAACATGTCCAGTATTTAGAGACACCTAAAGATGCAGTTGGACAGGATGAAGGTAATTAGATCAGTTTGTGGTTGGACCAGGAGTCAATAAAGACTCGTTAATGAACATCCAGATTTCTGAAGGTTCTGTTTGTTTTCAGGCGGTTGGGTTCAGGAAGAACCTTTGGACCTGGAAGATGCTGTAAATCAGGGGTGTCAACATCCAGTCCTGGAGGGCCGAAGTCCTGCAACGTTTAGATGTGTCTCTGCTGCACCTCAATAAAATAATAGATCATTAAGGTTCTGGAGAATTGGGTTAGGGTAGGGTTAAGGAGGAGGCAGTTAAGCCATTTCATTCCAGTATTTTGTACCTGAGGCTCATCTACAAACTCCAGGCCCTCTGGCCCTCCAGGACTGGAGTTTGAGACCCTGCTGTAAAGCTATGAGGATCATCAGTTGTGCGGCAAAACGGTGATGAAGAAGACCTCACTGGGTTGACTCGGTGAACTTTGAGCTGTCAGACGTGCTTCAATTTACTCCCGGCCGCTTCTTTGATACTGCAATCATCGATTTATTCCACTTTATCTGTCACAACTTCAGACTTTACAGGTCTGACACCTGCTGACCAGGCGGCCAAACCATACAATGGTGCCAACAATAAAAACGACATTATAGCACAGTCAATAATTATGACCACTCCCGGCGCACCCGTTTCCCATTCATAGAAAAACCAGCCAGTTTGGCTCCCATTCAGACCAGTGACAGCCACGCCCCCCTCGTCACACCACCACCAAGTGTCAAAGCCGTGACTCCTGCCACATCATTAATTGCTTATTTTGATCACATGGTTCTTACCATCAGTTTGTTCACTCAGAAGGGATCAGATTCTGGGACTAACCGGGTCAACTCTCCTGGATTTGGTCTCTTGGTTCTGAAATCTCGTTCTATAGCCATCCAGCTGTGGAAGAAAACGTTGGCCATGTAGATGGACACCTGTCACCTTTCTGGATCCCTTTGGCGTTGAGGCGACGCCAAGGCGGCCAGGTCGTCTCCAGAAGCTCCCTGAGGGAGAAACGTGATGGAACCAGATTTAAATTACAGGTAGTTGACGAGGCAGCGGGACCAGAAAACCACTTCCTGTTGTACTGTCGGGAGTTAGACGGTTTGTTTCAGTCAGTTTCTGTCTTTGTTTTGGTTCCAGGTCCAGATCTTTATGCTGACCTGCTGCTCTACGCAGATGATGGTGAGATTTACAACCAGAATCTCCTGCTTTGGGTCTGAAACATTTCCAGGAGATTCAGATTAGAAATCTTCTGGACTGGTGGAGATTTTCTGTGGACGAAGCCGGACCCTGGACACGGTGTCTCTGCTGCAGGTTTATGGACACGAGACGCTGCGACCGTCTCCATGGCTGCAGCAGGTATCAGGTGTGTGATGTCCTTCACCTCGGCGCCGGCCGGGTCCGTCCCAGATAAGAGCCACCGGGTCCGGATGAGCGTCCACATGGACGTCCAGGCGGTTCCAGGGACAGAGAGGGAACCGGATCAGGACGGAACCGGATCAGGACGGAACCGGATCAGGAGGGAACCGGATCAGGACGGAACCGGATCAGGAGGGAACCGGATCAGGACGGAACCGGATCAGGAGGGAACGGATATCAGGAGGGAACCGGATCAGAACCCGGCTGTGCTCCTCGCTGCAGGCCTGGTGATGTTACCATGGAAACAGTTAAAGAAGCCTGAGGAGCGAGACGGTTCTGAAGGTTCTGAAGGTTCTGGAGAACATCAGCTTCCCCCCTAGAGAGCTTCGGATGGTACTCCGGTCCAATCAGAACCTCCTCCCCAGTGTGAGCCGCGGCGGCGCCGAGCGGATCATCACCCCGACCCGGCGGGATTCTGATTGAACATTAATCCTGAAGTGGATTTAGAGGCAGCGGGCCGGGCCGGGCCGGGCCGGGCCGGCACGCAGCAGCGCCGCAGAACCCGTTTATGTAACGGAGAGCTGATCCCGTATCGGACCTGGAGGGAACCAATCATCCCGCCGCCGTTATTGGATTATAATTGGATTATAATCCGACACACAAACAAGGCAGAGGATAAAAATCTAACAACCATCTGGACCTGGTACCGGGTCCTGGTCCAGAAACACCAGAGGACTGGACTGGAGCAGTCCTGGAGAACCAGAACCTGTCCTCCATGGCGGGAACCTGCTGTGTCTGCGGATCAGAACCGGTCTCATCTCCACCTGCCGGCCTCTGG